TCATCACGTCCTCCACCGTCTTGGTGCGCAGCTCCAGCGCCCCTTGGATGATGTTCAGCTCCTCCTTCACGAGGTCGTTGTAGGGGTCTGTGACCCGCAGCATCTCCAGCAGCTTTTCCCGGTTGTAGACGGTGCCTATCTCCTGGCCCAGGACGCAGTCCAGCAACTTGCTGACTGGGTAAGAAGCGGGGAAGGTCATCATCATGAAAAACTTGGTGAGGAAGATGGTGTTGGCTCCCACGGCCAGGCCGTGCCGGGAGCAGATGGCCTGGGGCACGATCTCCCCGAAGATGACGATCCCGATGGTGGAGACCACCACGGCCACCAGGCCCGAGCCGGCGATGTCGTCGAGCAGGATGGTGAGCGTGGTGTTGACCAGCACGTTGCCCAGCAGCAGCGAGCACAGCAGGTAGTTGCCCTGCCGGCGCACGGGCTCGATGCGCTTGGCGTAATTCTTCTCCTTCTCGGTGCCGCAGTTCTGCACGATGCGCAGCTCCATCGGGTCCAGGGCCATGAGCCCCAGGTTGAGGCCGCTAAACATGCCCGACAGGCACAGGAGCAACGAAATAAAGATCACCTGCAGCCAGAAGGGCAGCAGGAACTTCTTCTCCTCGCCCACGATCATTTTGGTGTCCTCGCCGTCGTGGTAAATCCAGGTGGTCTCAGCCCACGGGGGCGGCGGAAGCCCGGCCACCCCGGAGCCGCCCTTGCCCCCGACGGTGCCACCCGCGGACCCCGGGCCGCCGGTGCCCAGGGCCGGCGTGGACAGCGATGTGCACAGGTAATAGGACTTGCTCTTCTCCATCTTCCGCAGCGGTTTTATTTCTATCTCAATGATGCCCGAGGTCCGGCGGTTGAGAATGATGTGGGGCAAGATGATGATATCTGACGTGCGGATGCCGCAGCGCTGGGGGCCGCTGTCCGGCTCCGGCGGCGCGGGGCCCCCCAGCCCGCGCTCGCCGGGGCTGTGGCGCCGCCGCTCGTGCTCGGTGAAGGCGATGCGGGACCACGTCTCGTTGTTGATGTTCTGCCCATACACCCGCAGCTTGACCCGAGTCCGCTCGCTCACCCGCAGCGCCCCCCCTTCCATGAACGACACGTCGTTCGTGTCCTCCAGCCGTAACCCGATGATCACCGTCTCTTCGTTCTCGCCCGCCGCGGCGCAGCCTCCCGCGCTGCAGCAGCAGCTCAGCAGCAGCAGCGGCAGCAGCCGTTCCGCCGCCGCCTGCAGTACCCCCCGGCCGCGGGCGCTGAGGCTGCGGCGCGCCGCCATCTTCCTAGTGGGCAGTGCGGCGGCTGCCTGCCCGCCCGCCATCTTTACTTCGGGTTCACAAGAGCCACAGCCAATCATAGGGTGGCTGCTGTAGCTGCGGCTTCATCCTTCCCACCCGGCGGCGCGAGTGCAGGCACCGGCCCCTGAACGAGACTGCAAGGGAGCGTCTGCACCCAGTGCTCAGCAGTCCGCCTCCCTGACTGACACTGGCCCGGCCTGGGCCGGCTGAGGAACCTGCAGGCTCGCGGGTGGGGGGAGAGGGAGGAGACAGCGCCAGGCGCTGCCACGAGAGGCAGGCTGACCAGCCACTCAGGAGCGGGCGCCCGCCCTCCCAGCCAGGGGGCTGGAATGGGGGCGTGGCCGCGAGCCGCGCCGCGGGCCAATGGCAAGGCAAGGGGCGGGGAGTTGAGGGCCACGGTGCTCAGCACGCCAAGTTTCCTACTGAAAGGCGCGTGACTCTTGTGTATGTGCGAGGGGAGGAGGTGTGGCCGGCCGGCCCCGAGAGCCAGTCACAGAAGAGAGCTGTCTGGGAGGGGCGGGGCCTCCCGTCCCACTGCCAATGAAAAGGGGCGGTCCGCGGGTTCGCGGTTCCCTGAGGAGCCTCAGTAGTAGAACGCGGTACTTGGTTTAACTCGGTTCGACTGAAGTCGTGAGGCGCGAGGCGGCTGGTTACTCGCTGCACCGGGTGAGAGCGCCCCAGTGCTCGGTGCCGGTGAAGAGAGGGCTGCGCCTTCCTGCCCCAGGAGCCCACTAGGCACGGCTTAAGATGCACTTTAGCCTAGAATGAAGCCGGGGCACCGGCCGCGTCCCCCTCCTCTAGTCTTACACGCCGCTCCATCCGAGACTGGCGGCGGCCGGGTGGCCCCAGCACCGCACTGACCAGCTCTTCGGGAGCCTTTCGCTTCTCCCCTAAACGACGCGCGCACTCTGCAGCTCGCGGTCAGGTGCCGCCACCTGCCGGCCGCCTGGTTGCTCTGCAACGCTTTCCATGAGTGCCCCAAACCCCCGGAGGGTGTGCAACGCGTGGGGCTAGAGTTGAGCAATTTCCCCATCTTCCAAATAATCTACTGATAGTCTTCCTGAAAGTATATATTCCATGGACCCCATCGCACACTTACTGAAAGGGTAGGACCCAGGAGTCTATTTCTAACAGGCACCAGGCAAGTCTGGGAAATGGGAGGGAGCAGACACATGAGGGGTCTATTTTTTTATGTTTTTTTTTAATTGATTTTAAAGAGGGAGGGGGAGAGAGAGAGAGAGAGAGAGAGATGTGAGGGGACCAAACATGAAACCAGAGCATGTGCCCTGACGGGACTGAGCCACACCTGCCAGGACTGAAGGCACATTCTTAATGCACTGCCCACACTGTACTAGGTTCAACATCGCTCAGCAGAAAAAAATCCTGAAGACCTAGCTCCCTGGGATTCCCAAGCCCACTGCGTCTGGAGGAGATATGGTAGCAGAGTAATTGACAATTGATCTTTTTCTTGCAATTTTAACATCTAAAAAATAATTGTTTCCTTCCTTTTTTTAAAAATTCTGCAAGCACATTTTCTTCCCTTTTTGTAAACCAGTCAAACATTTTATCAATTTCTGGGAGGGATGACTGCAGTGGCCTTCTAACTGGTCTCTCCTCTTCTACACCTGCCCCCTTACCTTCTCAACCCAGCATTCAGGGGTCGTGTTAAATCAGATACTGTTTGCTCCCCTGTCTGAAATTCTCCTCTGGATTTCCCATCTCGTAGGAGTAAAAGCCACAGTACCTACATTTTCTGACAAGGCTCTAAGGATCTGCTGCCTCCTTTTACTCCTCTGACCTTATCACCTGCTGCTCCAGCAAATCCTGGCAGTTTCTCATTCTCCCTGGGATGCTCCCCTGGGAGCCTGTGCACTTGCTGTTGTTTCCTGTGCCTGGGACTCTCTCCCCCCAGACGTCAGCATAGCCCCTCGGTTCACCTCCTTTAAGACTACTCAAAGGCCACTTTTTCTTTTTTCTTTTTCTTTTTTTTTTGAGGATATGTTTGTTTTTGTAAATTGGTTTTTAGAGAGAGAGAAACATCGATGTGAGAGAGAAACATCTATGGGTTGCCTCCCATACATCCCCTAACATGCGATCCAACCCTCAACCTGGATATGTGCCCTGACCAGGAATCGAACCCAAGACCCTTCGGTGCATGGGATGATGCTCCAACCAACCACACCAGCCAGGGCCAAAGGCCACCTGTTTTTAAACTTGTAAACAAACACTCCCTGTACTCCATCTCTGTCTTATTTTCCTTAATTTAGTTTATTATGTCTTCTTTCACTAGAACTTGAGCTTCCTGAGGGCAAGGATTTTGTCTGTTTTGTTCACTGTCATATTATCAGGGCCTATGACAATGGTAGATGTTCGAAACAATATATGTAGATTGTTAAAGAAATGAAAGAGCCTGGCTAGTTTGGCTCAGTTAGTTGAGCATCATCCCATGCACCAGGAGGTCACGGGTTCGATATCTGGTCAGGGCACATGCCCGGGTTGCTGATTCCATACACAGTAGGGGTTGGTGCAGGAGGCAACCAATGGATGATTCTATCTCTCCCTCTCCCTTCCTCTCTCTGAAATCAATTTAAAAAACACGTAATTTTATTTTTTTGTTAATCCTCACCCAAGGGTATTTTTTCCATTGATTTTTAGAGAGAGTGGAAAGGAGGAGAGAGGGGAAAGAGAGAGAAATGTTGATATGAGAGAGATATGTCCATTGGTTGCCTCCCAACAGGGGCCAGGGATCAAACCTGCAACCCAGGTGCATGCCCTTGACCAGGAATGGAACGCACAACCTTTTGGTACATGAGCCAATGCCCTAACCACTGAACACACCGGACAGGGCAAAAATATATATTTTTTTTTTAAAGAAATAAAATAATTTTTATTCTGATTATTTCAAGTAATGTCCCAATTCTAGCTTCCAGGCTTTCAGCTTCTGGTGCTGCTTCCCTACCCCTAATTCTCATACTACTATATTGAAAAATACGTTCATATTTTTAAAAAATGTATTCACAGCCCGGCAGGCATGGCTCAGTGGTTGCATGTTGACATATGAACCAGGAGGTTACAGTTCAATTCCCAGTCAGGGCACATGCCTGGATTGCGGGCTCGATCCCCAGTGGCGGGCATGTAGGAGGCAGCCCATCAATGATTCTCTTTCATCACTGATGTTTCTATCTCTCTCTCCCTCTCCCTTCCTCTCTGAAATCAATAAAAATATATTTTTAAATGGATTCACAGACTTGGCATGCATTTATAAAAATAACATTATTGAAGGTTAGAAGGGAAAAGTGGAGCTTTTTAGGAATATCTGACAAAGGTTAAGGATAGATATGTTCCTTCGAAGTCAGCTGATTGAAAATGAAACTTTTAACTTCATAAAAAGTGTGAGTACAACTGTGTTTAAGGGAGCTGAGAGGGAAGATGATTAAAAGCTTTCAAATGCTGAATGCACACTTTTGGGATGAGTGTGGAGAACGGGGTGGGGGAGAGTTTGCCAAACCTACAGACATTTCCTGTGCATTTCAGAGAACCCTAGGATGGTCAGGAAACTGGCATCCAGCAATTGAGAAGCAAGTTAGAAATTCAGGACTCCATAGCAAATTTAGGGCCAAAAAATGTCCTGGATTTCCCAGCAAGTTAGAAATTCAGGACATTTTACAATATAATTTACAATATAAAATAAACCAAATTCAAACCATATAGGGGATTGCTGAGTAATGTTTATACTGGGTAGGGGGATCATATTGGTCATGTACAGCCAAGTAATTTTTCCTTAGCAAAGGGGATCTGCCTTCAAGTTTGGAGGCTTTTTAGCTGAAAGAGTTACCCTTTCTTTAGTGAGGGGCTGCTGCTGCAGGTTTATGGTGACTTCCAGGGGCTTCCAATCTATCCATCTGGATGAACGGAGGACAAAGGCAACATTTTCTTCTAGGGATCACTTTTTCAATCTGGAAGAAAAAATACACAATAAAAACCTGAATTCTGAGCATATTACACCTCCAAAAGACCTATAGAAGGTCCAAGATTGCTAAAATGATTGCTGCGGATATCTAATCGTAGGTAGGTTCTGACTTTGACCCTAAGCAAGTCATGTAGGTAAAGCCAGAACCTCCTAGCAAACACCTTCCCCAACATTCTCTCTAGTTCTCTCTTCCCTCTCTCTGGCCAGAATCCTTCACTGGATACTAAAGGGAAGAGTGGCTGTTTAATTTCCTCGTCTGCATGGATAAACTCCCAGGTCCACAGTCAGGGGTCTGGGAAGGCATGGCATCCAGACCTAAAAGTCTTTTAGTTAGCTGTTAAAGATTGCAAGTAAAACACCAAATGGCTCTATCCACATTTGTTTTTCATCATAAAGCTCTGATTTTATAAAGCAGCATCACCCCCCGAAAATCACCTAGTTGTGGAAAAATAGTCAAAGTTATTGCTTCAACGGTGACATTGTAATCGCACCAAAGCACAAGGTCCTCTGAGGAAAATGGGAATTGGGCAAATGCTGGAGTTACCCGAACATTCCCTGGACTCAAATCTGTTCCCCTGAAGCAACAGTGACAAACATAAAATAATCCACAGTGCCATTTCCCTTCTCTTGAGGACTTTTCAGGCTTGTTTTGGGCTTTCCTATTTCCCTCCTTTTCTAGATATTTGCTAGAAATAGTCACTGGGGAAGGAAGAGGGGGAAAACAACAACGACGTGGATTTGACAGAATTAAGAGAAAAGCTCCCTCTCCTGAGAAAGGCCCAAGCTCCTCAAGAATCTGGAGTCTGGAGGCTCAGGTGGGTGTGAGCGAGCCACCCTGCCAATGGCAGGTTGCCCGTTGCCACTTCTGGCTCTGCCACCTCTTCCCACTCTCCCAGGACACCTGGCAGAACCTCATGCCCCAGGAAGCCTGCTCATCCTGAACCTCCCACTGGCCAGCCCCCAAAAGGTCTCCTGTACCCTGCCCAGTGCACTGTTCCCCACTTCCTTCCTCACTGCCCCCTTGACCTTCTGAGATATCAGAGAAAATGTTCTGCTGCTACAAGTGCACTGCTTGCCCTGCTCTAGGACACCTATCTTCCTGATGCAATGCCCTGCAACTTCGGGATTTTCTAGAATCTTTTAGGATGTGCTTTCCACTGCAGGTCCATCCCAGTTCCAGTCTCCAGCTCAGCCCTGGACAAAGGTGTAAGAAAGGTCCTGAGCTCGATTATCCTTATCATTATAATTAAAGCACTCAACCCAGGATGTGATTTTAGGGAAAGATTTCACTTACATAGTCATCTTTAATGTTGAGAGTGGCAGAGCCAGAAGTGGTAACGGGCAACCTGCCATTGGCAGGATGGCTCCCTCACACCCACCATGTAAATATTACCCATTCAATAATCTAAATTTAAAAACACATATGAGGCCCTGGCTGGCGTGGCTCAGTTGGTTGAGCATTGTCCCATGTACCAAGAGGTCACCTGTTCAGTTCCTGGTCAGGGGACATGCCTGAGTTGCAGGCTCAATCCCCAGTAGGGGGCATGCAGGAGGCAGTCAATTGATGTCTCTCTCTCATCAATGTTTCTCTCTCTCTCTCCCTTCCTCTCTCTCTAAAAATCAATAAAAACATTTTAAAAACCACATACGGGGAGTGAGGAAGAAGTTGAAGATAAGGGAGACTCTGGCAGGAGGATGGGAACTAGAAATGGGACCACAGGGGAAAGAACAGATATGAATGGCCAATTCTGAGCCCTCCCATACGACTCAGACTTGCATGGGTCTGATACCACAGCTTTAAGTTATAATTAGGACTCCAGACATAAAATGCCAGTTTCCCAATACCAGCTGACTTCATTTCCCTGGTCTTTTTTTCTACATCCTCTGAAGCTGAAGCAAAAATTCTACTCCAGTAAGAAGTCAAACTCCCCATGTATAGATAAACAGTATGTCAGACCTCAGTGGAAAAAAATCTATTTTTAGTTCCTCTAAGATACCTATTTGCTTGTTTTCTTTTAAACATCACTAACCTGAAGATTTAACTTATTTCTCCCCACTTATTACTACACACCTCAATTCTCTGCTTCCTCTTTAAATTTTAAATAAAGTTTGTATCTTATTTCTCACCCTATTTTTTGTCCTTTATTCATTCAATCATTTTATTAATATGTATTATATGATATGTACTATATATCAACTAATTCATTATATCTAATAAGTGTCAAGCTTTGTACTAAGGCATTGTATCAGAGGTTACCCACAAAATGTACTGTAAGAAGATTAGGAAACGTACTAAATAACTCCATAATACAGGGTAAAAGATCAGATGTCTTAAAAAGAAGTACAAATAAAGTGGAGGAATTTAAAGTTTTATGGTTTTTGAGCTCCTTGACGAATATGCAGATGTAAGAGCTATTCGAAGAAGGGTATCTTAGTCTTCTTGAGCTGCCATAACAAAATGTCATAGGCTAGGTGGCTTACACAACAGAAATTTATCTTCTCACAGTTCTGGAGGCCAGAAGTCCCAGATCAAGGTCCTGCAGGGTCTGTTCCTGGTGAGAGCTCTCTTCCTGGCTCACAGACAGGGCCTTTCCTCTGAATGTGAGTGTAGAGAGTATAAGCTCCCTGGTGTCTCTTCTTATAAGAACCCTAATCCACCCTTATGACCTCATTTAACCTTAATTACTTTCTCAGAGGCCCTATCCCCAACTACAGTCACACTGGGGTTAGACTTCAACATATGAGTGGAGAGGGGGACAGAAATATTCAATCCATGACAAAGGGATTGAGAGAGAAGAAAGGGGAAAAGGCATTCTGATGAAAAGAAGGGTGAGGTTGGAAAGTGAGCAGCATTTTTGGAACACCATGTGGTTGAACTTGGTCCTATATATTCCCTGAAGAAGAATAGCAAGAATAATGTTGGAAAGTTGGTTGGTGTTGGTGGGTGGTGGTTTGAATGCCAAGTTCAGGAGTTTAGATCTCATTCTGTAGGCACTAAGGAACTATAAAACTTCTAAGTAGAAGAGCTCTGTTATAGGAAGATTCACTGACAGACACCAATGCACTGATGCTGGAGTCCTGCCATTTAGGGATTTAGGAAACTCCTGCCATGGTTTACAAAGCACTTTCTCATATATTATCTTAGACTGGCCTTCACAATTAGGACTAAAGGATACACCACTTCTCAAGACACATGTAGGACAAAGGAACAGAGATAACTCTCCTGCCAAAGAATACCAAGAGGGGACACCATACCCTATGTCCAGGAAGTCCACACCTGAGTCATAGCTACTAACACTGGTCTGTACAGCAATCATGAATCTTAGATCGAACATAGGTTTCTCAGACTCCTAATCATAGGTCAGACTTCCTGATATCTTTTTAAAATTTTTTGAGATATAATAAACATACATATGCATAAAAAAAGTGCAAAAAACATGTATATACTAATATACAAATACAAAAGCCTAAGCCACCGGCGACTGGCCAACTGGCCAGTAGCTATGATGCACAATGACCACCAGGGGGCAGACACTCAACGCAGGAGCTGCTGAGCTGCGGTAACTTGGCAGCTGGTGACACACCTGGAACCAGGGAGGAAGGAGCCAGATTCCGGGGATCCAGGACCCCTCAGGGGATGTTGGAGACCCAGTTTCAGCCCAATCCCTGCAGGCCAGGCCAAGGGACCCCACCAGTGCACGAATCCGTGCACCCGGCCACTAGTGTATATAATTTTTAAAAACTCACCATATAATTTATCACCTAAAACAAAGCCCATTTGAGAGTGAAAAAAATGTACTATTAATAATTAACCTAGTTTATGCCTTAAACTGGGACAGTCCCAGGCAAAGATTAGGTTCACTTTATAATAATTTACAATGATAAAGTTACAATGATAATCAAGCAAACCCCTATTTATCACTTTCAGATCACACCCCTCTCCTCCACCTTAGATATAACCATTATCCTTACTGTTATACTATTTCCCTCTTTATTTCTATATTTTTTTAAATTTAGGAATTCCAGTAAGAAGAGCAAGGACAGCCAAAACTGGTTTGGCTCAGTGGATAGAGCATCGGCCTGCGGACTGAAAGGTCCCAGGTTCGATTCCGGTCAAGGGCATATACCTTGGTTGCGGGCACATTCCCAGTAGGAGGTGTGCAGGAGGCAGCTGATCGATGTTTCTAACTCTCTATCTCTCTCCCTTCCTCTCTGTAAAAAATCAATAAAATATGTTTAAAAAAAAAAAGAAGAAGAAGAAGAGCAAGGACAGCCCTAGCCAGTTTGGCTCAGTGGATAGAGCATCCCAGTTTCAATTCCCTTGGTTGCAGGCTCCTCCCCAGCCCAGACCCTGGTTGGGGTGTGTGAAAGAGGCAACCAATCAATGTGTCTCTCTCACATTGATGTTTCTGTCTTTCCCTCTCTTTTCCACATTCCCTAAAAATCAATGGAAAAATACCCTCAGGTGAGGATTAACAACAACAAAAAGAAGAGCAAGGATAAACCCTATAATACAATAGCAAGGAGTCAGAAGACCTAGTTCTAGTCTTGATTCTAACACTCACTGTCCTCCCATCATGCAAGTCACTTAAATAGCCTCAGCCTTGGTTTTCTCTTCTGGAAAGTCAGAAAAACACAGCATTGTGAGGGAGATGTGAGGAAATTATTTTCAGGAAAGAAACAACTTGGGACATTTGGTTTGGTTCATATCACAATGAATCTTCCTCATCACCATGAGAAATTACCATTTTTAAAGGATTGCATCCACTTCACGGACTTCTGTTATTATTTAAAAGCAAAAATAAAAATACCTCCTTCACAATATTTGCCTAGTTCTATCCAATTGAAAGGAATAATAAGGTAATAAGAAAAAGACAATAAGGACAGTTAGTAAAAGATTTACTACTGAGCGGAGAAGCCACACAAGTCCTCCTGCCCTTGCTGTGCAAACCTTTCCTCTTTAGCAACTTGACCTTTTGAGGATTTGCTTTCCAGAGGATACTCATTTAATATTCACAAAGAAACTTATGTGATGGAAGCTTGTTAACTCTGGGGACAGGAGATAAACTGTCCAGGCCACCTCACCTGACACAATTAGGCTCTGAGTTAATGTCAAATTACCATAAGCAGCCCAGCATCTTTGGTTCCCTCCTGTGAGCATTCCCTGCAAAGCTCCACGTGCCCTTCTTGGCTTCTGCTTGTAATGAATTAAATATATGTCAGAATCATAGAGTAAGCCATTGACCTGCCATCATTTGAACTATAAAAAAATTATTTGTAAATTTGATTAAACACTGCTAATTCTGATCCTAAAACAGGGCCACAAACTCAAAAGGTCAGAAAAGTCGACTGGGTGGGGATGGTGACAAATTGTCTAAAGGGACATGTCCTGCTTGAAGGGGAAGCCATTACTCACTCTGGCCATGACAGTTGTGGCAGAAATGCAGGGTCAGTGATGCCAGCATTTCCAGTTTTTCAAGAGAAGCCAGCAATTCATATTTTATGAGAAGCCTTCTGATTTATACATGTGGGCAACTAGACCAAACAATTTTTAAAACTCTATGACCTCTCCAGAACCTAGACCACATAAATCTGTTTCTGAGCCTGGAAGGGGACACCCGCATTTTACAAGAGGGAACGTGAACCCTCAAGTAGGGGAATGAGTTTGTTATGGGCGAGTGACCGGCTCAGCAGCAGAGCCCGGTCTAGGAAGAAGCCCTGCTTTCTGTCTCCTGCCTCCTTTTTCATTCCAAGAATGACAAGAAGGTTAGTGGCTTTAGGCCTAGTTTTCAAAGTTAGTAGACACCAGTCTGGCTTACCGTGCACCCAGCCGTTGTTGATTTGATTCTCTCTGGCTTCTGGACAATGTAGATGAGGCAATGGAGAAGCATCAGGGCAGAACACTTTTTGTTCCAAATGTATTTTCCTCTCACCTGGAGCCTACCACTGCCCAGTGGCTCTGCTACATGAAAGGAGAGGCGTGTTCACGTTGGGGAAGGGGATCGGGATGGTAGTCAGTCCAAGACAAGCAAGGCTCACTCAGCGGGGAGAAGATTAAGTACAAAACTTACGTTCACATAACACTCCCATTAACCTCAGTGGGAGGCGTGCTTACAGGAATCGCAGGGTCAGCAGTTGAAAAGAGACTGGAATGACGCAGTAAAGCTCAAGTCATAGGTGACTGTCAGGATTTTTTAATTGCAGCTTCCTATTTGCAAAAGACTCGATTTTTATAATCTAGTGTGTTTTCCCTCTACTGACTCTTGGGCAGGGTCTACAAAAGAAGCCTTGTTTTCACCCAAATTGTGGTGTGTGGTTGAAGAAACTTGGCAAATCACAGAAGTTAGGACAGATGCCAACAAAGTTTAGAAAATATGCTTAACTATTTTTGTCCCATTGCCCCACAGGGTTCATAATATTCCATTGTTAGTGATCCTTGCCTAGGACAGTGCCTGAGACATTCAAGGAGGTATTTAATTAATATTCAGTGAGAAAATGAAATAATGGACGGATAAGTTCACAATCTTTGTCAGATGAGTTTAGTCAACCCCCCAGCCTAATAAAGCAGAATTACTGACTATTTTGGCTGCTTCCTTGGAGCCATTCAAGGAAAGGCCAAGAATCAACCAGAGGAGCAGGTTCTGCTACTGACTTGGCAAAGAGCCATGCCCTTTTCAGCTATGCATGGCTGGAGGGGCTGGAGGTGGGAATGGGGGTCCTGTCCAGGCCACTGCTGGGCCTATTCATGTAGATAAGCTGAAAAGTCTCTGCAGGTTTCCATGACTTTTAAATAAACCCTCCCTCTGTGATAATGAAGCACTGAAAATACTATTTTGATACAATAATCAATTAAGAGAAAATTTGCTCCTTAAACCCTTTAAATCCAATATCTTTGGAAAGGGCTTATGCCTAGGAAAGAATTGACCCCTGTTTCTGTATCTCTAATGTTAGTAAATATGTTAAAATGTATAAACAGATTGCAAAAGGTTAAGAAGTGTGTAATCTAGGTGGTGGGTAAATTCCTTTTGGTTTTTTAATTCTCACCAGAGGACATGCTTAGATAGAGGAAGGAGAGAGAGAGAGGAAAAAAAAAATCAATTGGCTTCAGTACGTGCTCCGACCAGGGATCGAACCCGAAACCTAGGTATGTGCCCTGACCACCAAAATCGAACCAGCAACCTTTCAATGCACAGGACGACACTCCAACCAACTGAGCCACTCCAAGTGGGCTCATTACAGTTCTTTAAGCTCTTCTGTATATTTGAAAACTGTCCAAATAAAATGTTGGGGGGAAAGTTGCCTGTTGTCGAAAGAGCTACACGCAGCTTCCTAAACCATGATCGGGCAGCAAGAGGCATCAATCACACGCTGACAGCAACCATCTAGAGCTAAATGAGCAGTAACATAAACCATGTGCCATGCACTCTTTCAAAGAACTTCATACAAATGAGAAAATAAAGGCATAGGGATGTGAAATAATTTTCTCAAGGCCAAAATGCAAAGTGGCAGAGTTGAAAGGGAAAAGGAACTTTAAAGGCTTCAAATTTTTGCTCTTAATCAGCACTCCATACTGCCTCTCATTCTTTTCTTTTTAAAAAATATATTTTTTTACTGATTTAAGAGAGGGAGGGAGAGAGAGATAGAAACATCAATGATGAGAGAGAATCAGCAATTGGCTGCCTCCTGCACGCCCCACACTGGGGATTGAGCCTGCAACCCAGGCAAGTGCCCTGACCGGGAATCAAACTGTGACCTGGTTCATAGGTCGACGCTCAACCACTGAGTCACGCCGGCCCGGCTGCCTCTCATTCTTGAAGGAGAGGTATGCTCTTTTATAAGGATTGCACATTCCTAGTTGTCTCTTTCACCTATTTTAAATATTTAATTATTTATGCCAGTTTTCTGAGCAAAACGCATATTTTAATTTTATATTGTCTAATACATGTCTTTTCTAGATTATAAGTCAAATACAATTCTTAAGATGTATATTTTGTTGGAACATAATGTATAAAACATGTTATTCTTAGGAAAAGGACAACGTGAATCTCTATTTTCCAGCCCAATCTTATCACTCGATGTCTTTTGGGGGTAACTGAGAGTTCAGAATGACAAGTAAATGGCTAATCCCTCCTTCCCCTAAATTCAGAAGAGTCTAATAAGCCAAATAACCAGGGCACTCTTTCTTTTCATTTCCCCTCTAGCAGGACCACCTTGTGCTCATGGATAGTGAAGGATGCTTAATCTCAGCTGTACCATCCTAACTAACACACATTGTGCCTGGGGAAATATTGAACTATAAAACCAAGAAAGAACTGCTTAGAATCAAGGTCACAGAGACAAATAGGCCTTAAAAGATATCATCCAGTACTTCCCTTGGTCAGTAGTAGTAAGTCAGGGTCTAAGGCCGAACACACTTAGTAATTTGAGAATTTCTCCATTTTTAACAGCTGTCCCTGTAGAATCCATCCCAAAATTTTACAAAGTCTGAAAGTTCTCATGTCCCTAATAAAAAGCTCTTGAGACATGCCGGCTCCCCCTGGGGTCTGTGCACTGAGCTCAGAGCAACAGGTTGAAATGTTCTTATTAAAACTCTTCTCCGCTTGAAGTTGTCATTAAAAATGAACTATGAGCTCCTGGTGGCAGGGATCATGGCTTAAACGATCCCTGGCTTGTCATCTTTCTGTGTCCTCCGACAAAGTCTTCAAATACAACTAGCCTTCAATTTATTTAAGCATTCTTGAAGCTTTCCTATTTTCTAATAGTGTAATCAGCCTTGAAATATTCCTCAATCTCCTTTAACTATGGAAACTAGAACTAAATCTAGTACTTTCCTAAGGTACTTTGTAAAGGAAAAGAAAACCCACCAATCACCTAGCTCTTCTTTTAAAAATTATCAAACTCTTTTCCTAATCTAGTTAGAATTTACTATAGTCAGTATGTTGTCACACTTTAGGGTGAACTGAGATCAAAGAAATGTATCGTTCATTTGTTTTCTTCATTCAACTGCCAATTTTTTAAAAGTGTTTGCTTTAAAAGACCATTTAACCCAAGAGCACTGCTACCAAACCTGATTTGGCAATCTTTTGGCACGATTAGCCCAATTTCAGTAGGAGCTTTGTTTAATGAGCAAATAAGCTGAAAAGTCCAAAAGGTGCTCTGCAGGTCAGAAGGAGTATGTTTTTCCTGAGACTCTCTGACAATTGTTATTTCTGGAGCCTGGCTTGCCCGTTGGCCAAACCTTAACACTGCTCAGTTCCACTTCTGACCACTAAGTGGCACCAGAACTTTGAATTACTTAAGATGGAGAAAAACTGCTTAACTAGTGTTTAGGTGATTTGCTGTGAACCCTTCGTTAACACCTTCTAAAAAGATTTCATTTGTTTTTATCAAATCTAGAATTTGGTGACTTTTTGCCATTTATTCTTCCTATGGTCTGTGCTATGGGAAGAGCAGGTTAAAAGACATACGTAACTCATTCCTCAGCGTCCAGCCAACGTCTTCGCAGGAGCTTTTCTTTGTGCCTCAGCAGCCTCATCAGGGGAACAATCGGGCTTTGCATTGTCAGACTTTTCTGCAAGCTCGAATGGCTCTGTGATGTGATCCTGTAAAAAGGCAACCCAAAATGGAAGGACAAGTTAAAGGTGTTTTGATGGACCCAGACGCTAATATTTCCGTTTGATTTACCTAAAAGGGAGATAAACTTTTACAATTGCTTGGGGTCCTGGAAATAGTATCAGTCATTCAGCTATAAAGGTGGCCGTCCTTTTCTGAAGATTTTGAACCAAGTTCTTACCACTTCCAAGGTGAACTTCATCCAAAGCTTCTTAAAGGCAGTCCCTGTTGGGCCAGGAGAGTTTATTTTGCTTTGTTTTGTGGGATTCCCATTTGTATGTGCCTTTTAGCCTTTAGGACCTGAGATACTGCAATGCTGAAGTTTCTTCTCTAATCTCCAGAACCAGAACCATGTGCAAGATAGAAGGCAAGTCCTACATACCGGGGCCATTAGCAATTGATGGTGTGCAGGTGCTGAGACTGCCAAGGGCCAGCAAGATCTCAGGGCAGAGTCAGTGGAGTTTTCAAAAGACAAAATGGCAATCTTTATTTTTCCTCCTTTCACCTCCAACACCAGTGCCAGTGGGGCCAGTGAAAAACCTGGCACAGAGGTCGAAACTCAAGAGCATGTACAAGCCACCTTAAGTAATGAAAATGAATTCATTAGCCCTGGCCGGTTTGGCCCAGTAGATAGAGCGTCAGCCTGTCGACTGAAGGGTCCCTGGTTCAAATCCGGTCAAGGGCACATGCCCAGGTTGCGGGCTCCATCCCCAGTGAGGGGAATGCCGGAGGCAGCCAATCGATGATTCTCTCTCATCATTGATGTTTCTATCTCTCTCTCCCTCTCCCTTCCTCTCTGAAATCAGTAAAAAAATATATATTTAAAAAAGAAAGAAAATGAATTCATTAAACATGTATTTACACTCTTACTATTTATTGTTGGTCACTGCAAACAGAAGGGTGGACACGACAGGCACAGACCTTACATTCATGAAGGGCAGTCTTTTGACCCACTCCCTTTACTGCAGTAACTACTGGTGGCCTTGCCTCTATGGCCCGGTTTCCAGCTCTCTAAAGTGAAGAGGTCTACCTGGATCTGGGCTCCCTTACCGCCGGACTAGCACCCAGCAGGGGTCTCCAAGCCAGGAAGAGGGCTGGCTATGCTGGTTGCTGCTGCCAGGCCTCACACCACTGTCTTCCCTCCTCTCAGGGCAGTGGACTTCCTGGTAGGAAGAGTTAGCCGCTCCTCTTTCTCACCCATCCTCTTCTTCACATTCCATGTCCTTTCTACCAACAGAGATAGTGATATTCCTATCACTTCCAAATACATGCTCCCAGCCCTAACTAAGGTCTCAAGACTCGAAGGGAATAAAAGGTGGGGCATCTTAGTAAGTGGTTCTTTTGAGCACCAATATCCTGTGACTCTATGAAAGTATAAATATGGAGAGTTAATACAGCAGATTATGGCGAAGAATGTCAGCTCTAGAGTCAGACATGGGTTCAAATTCACCACTTTCTAGCTGTGTGACCCTGGGTTACAAATTCATCTCTCTGAGCCTGAGTTTCTTCACCTGTAAAATGAGGATAATAACGGTTATTGTGAGGACTAAGTGACATGGTGCCTTGAACATATTAACTATTCAATAAAGATGAGGTCCTCTGGCCCGACCTGTGTGACTCAGTGGACTGAGCGTTGTCCCATGCACCAAGAGGTCACAGGCTGGATTCCTGGGCAGGGCACATGCCCAGGTTGCCGGCTCAATCCCCAGTAGGGGGATGCAGGTGGAAGCTGATCTATGTTTCTCATCAATATTTCTCTCTCTCTCTCTCTCTCCTTTCTTCTCTCTCTCTAAAGTCAATAAAAACATTTTCTTAAAGACTAGGTCCTCTGTATTATTACTACTGTTGTTTATGTTCATATATAACTACCACTACTATTAATTGAAACAAGACCATACATAACATTAGTCCTATTGGTGTCATTTCAGATTCTGCAGTGTTTTAATAATATAGTTCTTTTAATAGCAAAATACACTTTGTCAGGATTAAGGAGGAGAGAGAAGAAAGGAGAAAAAAGGGGGGGAAAAGGACTCTTAAAAAGAGGCAGCAGCTTGCATTCCTCTCTGCTGCAGCAACTAATGGGAAGCTGTAAGCATGAGCCAAGTCCCTTGCGCCACCTGCCCGCACTGTGCTGGAGGGTTTATCATAAATGTTTGCCATAAAAAAGATATGAGTGTCTTCCCCCAAGAGCACAAGGTTATTTTTCTAGGATACACCAGCTGCTTCATTCTTTAAATCTTCCTTCAGTGTCAACTATTCCCATTTCAAAAACTTGAAACTGCTCTAAAGACATTGGCACATGTGCAGGCTGAAAGAAAGAAGGCAGAATAGGAAGGAGATTGCTGGGATAAAAACCAGTCCAAATAGGAAGAATGTTACAAGCCGTATCTGAGGTCAAGGGCCCTCCTTTACGTAGCCCGCATGCACACCAGGAGGGACAGCAAAAACAGCTATGCTGGAAGGAAATGTTTTTCTGTAGAAGCCAGAGTTCCCAGGAATGTTGTGGCTGGAGGAAAGACTCCCTTTGCTTGTAACTGTAATCTCCTGACAGCTTGTGTATGCCGGTATTCAGGAAACCAGGCTACAGGAGAGTTAGAATGTTGAAAACATTTCAAAATAAACACTGATTCCAATCAGCAAGGTTTTATAATCAATGAACTCCCAAGAATTTCAAAATAGCAAAGACACATTTGTGAAATACCCGATGGACTAGTCAGAAGTCAAATTTCTCTATCTTCAAAAATATCATTGTCTTAGAAAAAGGGAAGAGTAACCATAGCAGAGAGCTCAAGAGTTTAATAAAGCAAAGAAAGAAATCACTCCTCGGCTCTACAGGTGTCTCCTATGCTTACGTGGGCTGGATTCACGCTGGTAATCGTGGCCAAACAAGAACTTTTGGGGTTTTTGGCTCTGGGATTCTTGTCTCTTATGTTTGATTAAACTTTCTCAACTACAAATTTACCATTTCTTAGAGCGATCTCTAAATAAGCTTTACTATTTTTTTAAATTTTTTTTTATTGATTTTAGATAGGAAGGAAGAGGGAGAGACAGAAACAGCAATGATGAGAGAAAATCATTGATCAGCTGCCTCCTGCACGCTCCACACTGGGGATCAAGCCCGCAACCCCAGTTTAATAAATAAAACTTTAAAAAATGTTTAGGTTTAGGAAATATGCTAAATAAAATTAGAATACTAAGTTCTATACATAGCATGCTCCCAATCTTATTATATACACAGAGAAAAAAAAACACGTAAAAGGATATATATTAAAATGGTAAAGAGGTTATTGCTGGCTATATGATTAGTAGTAATATGGTCTTTTACTTTTTGTATTTTTCCAACATTTTAACAATATTCACTTATTATTTTATAATAAGAAAAATGTTAACATTATTAAAGTAAGAACTTTTGATTTCATAGTCAGACGGACCACACACATATGACAGTAAAGGAATAACCCACAATGATGAGAACATAAGGGGATTAAGGGGCATCAGTGCTGGGACAATTGCCCTCATTTCCACACTATAGTTTTCAAAGTGTTTTCCACATTATTTATCCCGTTTAATTTTCATAAAAGCCCTATCAGCAGATTGTAAATTATCTACATTTTACAGTTTAGAAGACGACTCAAGGAAATTAATTTTCCAAGGTCATGCCACTTTTGAGAGGCAGAAGAGAAATGGAACCTAAACCTCCTGACCTAATCCTCATGTTCCCACATCTTAAAGCCTCACCCTGGTGGTGAGCAGAATGGAGCTCTGTATATGAACACGTATCTGCCTTAAAACAAAACATAACAAAACAAAAAGACACCTACCCCAGAAAACTGTGTGTCCTGCTTTCTCCTGGCAATTCAAGGCTATCAGAGATGTCACTGAAATATAGCTTCCCATCATGCTGAAACAGCAGAATTCGTCCAAACAAGGTTAAGATTACATTAATCCCAGATAGCAAAGAAAGGAATGAAGGGATAAAATCCATTTTAAAAACAAATGCAGGGGGCGGTGGGGGGGGGGGGGGATGGAAGTGCTTGAACCGACCCTGTGTGAACGAAAGGATCAAAGTTTTGCCATCCTGAAGCTGTCTTTTTGGGATATTGATTTTAAGCTGTTTATTAAGAAACAAGACTCAGAAGGACACTTTGACCTCCCCCCTTTCCTGCCCAAGAGATTCAGACAGAGAAACCTACCAGGAGCAGACAGGACAGGAAAATTCTTGCTAGACAACTCAGAAACAATGGAACACAGGGGGTATCTAGCTAACAGGCACCTGCCTGAAGCCTTGTTTACGACACTTAATTCAAATTAGGCTAAAGTGGCATTCTAAGTTTTCCCTCCTGAAACAGGTTTCTCTGTCTGAACCTTTTCTTCGGCAGGAAAGCAGGGAGGTCAAAGGTTCTTTCTGAGTCTTGTTTCTTATTAAACACCTTAAAAATCAATATCCCAAAAGCAGCTTCTGATTGGCTAAACTGGTTCCCTTCACATGCTTATGTGAATCCTCCATTCGCAGGTATTAAAAACCTGACGTTCTCCTGTTAATCTGTCTCTGTTAATTTGATGATTAGCCCAGCCTGGAAGAACTTAGAACAGTGGTTCTCAACCTGTGGGTCGCGACTCCTTTGGCGGTCGAACGACCCTTTCACAAGGGTCGCCTAAGACCATCCTGCATATCAGATATTTACATTACGATTCATAACAGTAGCAACATTACAGTTATGAAGTAGCAACGAAACTAATTTTATGGTTGGGTCACAACATGAGGAACTGTATTTAAAGGGCCAGAAGGTTGAGAACCACTGACTTAGAAGGTGGGAGGAAAAGTATAAATATTTTTTTAGCGAAGTGCCAAGATTTCTTTTTCAGTCCCCTACCTGACAGGGAGGGCAAGAGTGTCCCTCTCCTGAATAAGGATACTCAGGTCACCTAGATTTTGAGCCAAATTGAAACAAATGCAGCTCAAGGTTGTATAACTATCAGAAGAAGTCAATAGTATTCATAAACTCGTTTCCTTTAAAAAGTATACAACTTTTTGTAACGCTAGCATGTACTTTTATAACAACATGTTTTTCTCAATATTGTGCTTAAATCTCAGGCACATGAGTTAGCAGTCATTTTGAGATTTTATTTAGCTAATATCAACAGTATGGAGGTCTGGATCCTACAATAATCTTTCCTCCTCTCTTCCCCAAGCTCAACTATATTCCCAAGATAAGAGAGGTGAACAGAGTGTTTAAAATATCAGTAAACTTTCAGCAAACAGTGAGTGCAGGAAAAAAATTTCAGGCATGTTTCTTATTTGTTTCTGCCCTGATGTTTACCAGGCAAAAAATAACCTGGGGCCAGATGTCTCCATTTCTTATCCCACCTGTAAACAGGAAGTTCCTTCAGGCAGTTTACTAAGATTGTCACTTGGGCATGACTTGACAGAAAAAAGAGAAGCACAGAATTCTGTAATTTGCTATGAAAATAATATTAAAGATAACAGGTCAGTGTGCATTGTCTGGGCAGACTCAGTGGTCTTGCTGGTCTCTTGGGCTCATTGGTTGATGGTTAAGTGAAAGTAAGTTCTCTCTTGGGCTAGTGTGTTCTGGGCCAGACCAGCTCCTCCTCTACATTAAGTCAGGCCAAGTTTATCACCCTGAGAGTCAGTTCAGCAAAAACTGTCACAAATGGTGACATTTGTGTGTTCGATAGAAAATGGGCTACATTCATAACAGTAAGGAGAGACCTACATAACTCTCATTTCTGGTCCCAGCCTCTCCCCACTTCTCTATGCAGCCATGAACAAAAGTCACCTTGGGTGCCTGGAAGCCATATTTTTCCAAGTGATATTCAATATACTTTTTCGCCACTTCTACCTAAGAAAAGAAAAATATAGGTTTGATAATTAGCATTTTTTAAATACACTGGTTTCCCTCCCCCCTCAAAATTTCCTTTTACTAATGGAATATACTTCCCCCTGACTATTTTGGATAAGGATACAAGGCTTCTCTGGGCACATAGGATATGCTCCAGCCTGGGACAACTCAATGGAGCTCAATACCTGGTTTTTGCTTGAATAAGCTCTTCATTCATTAACAAAATCTTGCAGGACGGATGGCAGAAGAAAAGACCAGACTCCACTGGGTCATCATGATATTCATATACTAGATCAAACCTCTGACTCTCACCCAGCCAGTGTGGCTCAGTGGTAAAGCATCGACCCATGAACTAGGTGATCATGGTTCAATACCCGGTCAAAGCACATGCCTGGGTTGCAGCTCAATCCCCAGTGTGGGGTGTGCAGGGGGCAGCTGACCAATGATTCTCTCTCTCATCATTGATGTTTCTCTCTCCCTTCTTCTCTGAAATCAATAAAAATATATTTTTTTAAAAACACACAAAAAAACTCTGTTCTTCCAGAAGAGCCCCTAATAGCCAAAGTCCGCAGCTCCCAGAACAGAAAGCATGAGTGGCACAAATAAGCATTGCCATTTAGCTGCCTTATTAAAACCTTGAAGAGTCACATAGAAAACAACTTTATCTCAAAAGAATGCTTTTGATGATAATTTTTTCCTCCAAATCATTGTCTCGCCTGATCTTCTCTCATGTCAATTCCAGTAACATGTCCTTTCTCATAAATCATTTAAGCACATAGCAAATCTCTGCCACTTTCACTAGCCAGGTCCAAAATCCATCAGTTTTGATGGATGACCAGAACACAGCCATAATACCTGGGAAATAGAAAGTACATACATACATATTTTTTCCCCTCTAGAGACTAGAAGATGTGGAGCCACTAAATCTTATAAATCCTCCCTCCCTCCCTCTTTTTTTCCTTCCATCATTCATTCAATTTCAATTTAGGTATTTAATCTCCCCCACTAAATTGGAAGCACCATGAAGGCTGAGACTCTTTTTTACTATTGTATTGTTGGGCACTGTGCCAGGTACTAAGACAAATAAACCATCTAAAATATTTGTTGAATGAATACATTTAGGCATTAGCTGAGCATCTAATGCAGACCCAGAACTGTGCTAGTTATTGAAGAAAAAATGTAGGCTGAGATCCGTCCCCTAGATGTATTTAACTGGGGTGGTAAACCATGAGCAAATAAAATGTTTTCCATGATTTATAGACAAACTGAGTGGCACAGGCAGTCAGTCCTACAGTGATTTGGGGAAGGTGGTGCTCAGGATTGGAGGAAGCTTCACAGAGTAGGTAGGACATCAGTGAAGTACTGCATGGGCAGGATTTGGAAGGTAGAAAGGAGAGGGGAGGCATTCCAGATTGATAACTGCATGCTGGCAGGCAGAAGTCATCCTGGCAGTTCTGATAGCAGGAGGAAGGGAAAGGTCTGGCTAGAGTAGTATAGTGTGTCAGAGGGAACCAAGCTTGGTTAGGAAGGGAGAGCCAAAATACTGGAGAGTCTTGAATGTCAGCTCCAAGAAGTGTGAATGTATCCTGTGAGTAAAAGGGGGAGTGGGGGAGTCACTGGAAATTCTCAAAAAGCAGTAAGATGATCAGTGCTGTAATGGTCAGTTCTATGATAGACACGGCAGGCAGGATGGATTGGAGGAGATGGATTACTTCTCTAGAGACCAGCATAATTATTTTTTGAGAAAGCTGTTGTCTGGCGTCTCCATGGGGACAGCACAGGGCTACTTCCTCATGTACATTCTGCAGGGCTGTCCAGATGTGCTTGGGGACCCATCTGGCTGCAGTGACACAGGCCTTGGGCTGGAGGTCTGCGGATTTCTTTAGCACCTGCCTGTAGTAGGTCTGACCCAAGGGCTACGGGTGGGGTGAGTTGGGGAGAGAGAAGAAATACTGAAACTGGTGTGTGCACACCACCACCCCACTCCACCCATCCAGGCCTAGCCAGCTTTTGCTCCCCGCAAAGCTCTAAGCCCAGACTCTGCTCTGCCCCAGTCCTGGGATTAGGGTTAGGGTTAGCGCTAGGGCTAGGGCCAGGGCCAGGCCTAGGGCTCCCACTCAGCCCAGGCTCTACCTCTGATCATTCCCTACTGCTCTCAGCTGCAAGTCCTTCCAGAACCTGGCTGGAGTGGTGGTGGTTGGAGGTTGGGGGAGGGAGAGGATGGGGGCATTGCCTGGATGGGGAAAATGGTGGCTGAAAGAAGAGGGTGTAGAAGGGGTGCACTGCGATAAAAAGGTGGGTTAAAAGGCAGGTGGTAGGCCCGAGAGTTAGTGGGGGTGGTGGAGGAAGGGTCAGGGGAAGGGACTGGGGGCCAAGGGGCGGCACACTCACTGTCTCCTTGGTCTCCGGACTCCGGGACTCGAGTTCCCCGCAGCCAGCTCCAGAGACTGAGCCCACCCAAGGCCCCATTGCAGGGGAGGCAGGCTTGAGCCCTGGACCCTGGACGGCTTGCAGCCTGATGCTCCAACGCAGTCTCGCTCTGGCCCTGCTGGCCCAATGTCATCTTGGCTGTCTTTAGTCTTTCCAACCACAGAGGTTAATATTATTATTAATTTCTATATTCCTTTATTGCTGTGATTCTCATTTTATAAACTTCATATCTGACGTACATGAGCAACCACATATATAATGATCTTTGTCCATTTGGGGGATGAAGTCACTTTTTCTCAATCTATTTTTTAAAGTCCGGTTTATTGAGATATAATTTACATTCAGTAAAATTCACCTTTCTTTAGTGTACTAGAGAATTCTTAGAACAGTTCTCTTGCCCAAAAATGTTTCTTCTTGCCCTTTTGTACTATAAGCCCCTCTGTCAAGGAAAAGATACCCAAACCTATAGAAAAGTTTTATAAGAGTTTATTTGAGCCAAGTTTTTGAGGACATGCCCAGAAGCAAGATCTCAATGGATTGGGAAAATACTCTTGAGAGTGACAGTTAAAAAAAAAAGTTTTTATTGATTTTAGAAAAAGAGGAAGGGAGAGGGAAAGAGAAACACTGATGTGAAACACTGATGTGAAACATCAGTTGGCTGCCTCCTGCATGCCCACTACTGGAGATCGAGCCTGCAACCCGGGCATACACCCTGATGGGGAATCGAACCAGAGACCTTTTGGGGCATGGGACAAGCTCAACCAACTGAGCCACACTGACCAGGGGAGAATAGCAGTTTTGAGTTCCTTCTATGAATTTAGAGTCAAAGATGAGAACATAAGGAAGGTACTGAAATCCATTGGTGGTGGATTAAGGAGGCAGGAGAAAGCAAAGTGAGGAAATCACTAAAATAGATAAAAAGCAAAATGGAGAAACACACACTGCTTTGACATTGGTGGGTACAGGATACTTAATAATGAACATTTACAGTAGATAGAGATGGAATGCAGGAAACCTGGTATCGATGAGGGGTTCTGTCGCCTCCTGCTCTGGTGCCTGCAGTTGTGCCTTTAAGAAAATTACTCTGACATTTAAAGGTATGTTATCCTAGATACACAAGAACAGTGGACAGGACTCGCCTACGGCAAAGACTGATCTTTGCTAAGGACGCTGTAGGCCTGGGACATGACTACCTCCTATGGCATCCCAGTTGGGAATGTTTGATCAAACCACCCTGTGTGGTTTCTTTCAGTCTCTGCCATGTGCCTCCCCCTCCCATCACCCCCAAAACAGCTATAGATCTGTTCTCCCTCCTTTTCCAGAATAGCAGAGAGATGAAATCAATACAATATATAGCAGTTCTCAGTCAATTTTGAATTTTATTTAGGAAAGCAACTTCTGCTCAGTTCATTTTTAACCTCTAGTAATTTTTTTTATCAATTCACTGTGTCTATTGGATATTATTTTATCTTACAGAGAGTTGTATATCTTATTTCCTTTTGCGGGTTGTAACAAGCATATCTGTTCATTAGGGTAGTAAGGAGATATAGGGTTTCAAGTGAAGGGATATATAAATGCAAAATCTACTAAATAATACTCATTAATCTCATCTGCTAATAATCTTCCCTGACGTCAGTTAGTTGTTATTAAGTATTAATAGAAAGGTGCTGTACCTTTCTTTTATTTTTTTGTATCTTTAACAAATTAAACCCATGGAAAAAATCCTGTTTAAAGTTAGAATATTTCCAACTATGAAGTATGTGGGGGAAAAATGAGTGTTTTTATAGGTATCAGGGTGGTTTTTTTGCAATCACATTATGATGGTTAAAATGGTATCTTTATTATCTTGAATGGACAGATTAGTGGGAAGTTAAGGAAAGGGCTCTATCATTTCCACTTGTTCACTTTATTATATTATCTCCAACTTGTGGTTATTCACCAGAATCATTTGATAAACCTTAAATCCACTTAACCACACACAGATAAACTCAAATTGAGTTATTCCCAGTGTTCCCTCAAGTACCTAATGTACAGGGCTGATTTGGGGCCACATTGCTTATGACCATCATTCATTCTAATTGGTCAGTGCTTCAGCCACAGTGTTTTTGTTGTTGTTTAACATATTTTTAATATGTAGGTCAGTCTGCTCCGTAGACCAAATTAGAGATCTCATATTAAGCCATATTTTTTTTTCTTATTTATTTATATTGATTTCAAAGAGGAAGGGACAGGGAGAGATAAAAACATCAATGATGAGAGGGAATCATTGATCGGCTGCCTCCTGCACGCCCCACACTGGGGATTGAGCCTGCAACCTGGGCATGTGCCCTGACCAGAAATCAAACCAGCAACCCTTCAGTGCACAGGACAATGCCCAACCAACTGAGCCACACCAGCCAGGACTGATCTCTGAACTTTTTATTGGCCTCCTGCCCCCACAAGGTGTGCCCCACTTCTGCTGCCCGTAACTTTGGTGTCATTGACCTCAGATGCCACTTTTCCATCCACAATCCTGTGGGTGATGGTCTCTCGGATGGATTGTATGGAGGGGCTGTTGTCCTGGGCATCACCAAGACGGAAGTCCTCCCCTTCTTGCAGCAGGTGGGGCAGGTGGTGATCTCACACTCCAGTTTTACCCTGATGTTCAGCAGGGCCTCATACTCCTGAGCCTGGCACTGCTCCTCTGCCCAGATCTGGGCCAGCTCTGCCTCCAGGGGCAGCAGGATCTGGTTGAGCTGTTCTGTCTTCGTGACATAGTGCATCTCCACCTCCCTCAGGCTGTTCTCCCAACTGGCCTTCAGATTCCTCATCCAGTCCAGGTCGAGCTCCAAGGACTGGACGTACGTCTCAGCTCTGCATCCTCCCAGCAGCTCCTATCTCAGCAGTCTGCAAGGTGACCACTGTGGTGCTCTCCTCAGTCTGCTAGGATCAGTACTTGTCTAGCTCCTCTCGGTTCTTCCGAGTCAGCTCTTCATACTGGGCCTGGGTGTCCACCAGGATCTTCTGAGGTCCTGAGATTTGGGGCCATCCAACTCCATGGTCAACCCAGAGTTGGCAGTCTGATTCTGTAGACCATTTACTTCCTCCTTGTGGTTCTTCTTGAAGAGCAGCTCCTCCTTGAGAGCCCCCCTCTCTGTCTCCAGTGACCTTTCAGAGACCACTGATGTCACTCTCCACAGACTGGCACATGGCCAGCTCTGTCTCATACTTGACTCTGAAGTCAGCAGCAGCAAGACAGGCACTGTCAATCTGTAGAATGGTGGGGGCATTTTCCACAGAACTTGTGAAGATCTGAGCCCTCAGGTTCTCGATGATCTTGAAATAATGCCCTCAGCCCCTACCTGGGGTGGCTTCTTCCCTAGGTGTTCCTGGATTTTGCTCTCCAGGAACACCTAGTGAAGGCTGATTATCAGCCTCCAGATTTCTCTCCCTCTCCAGGTAGGAGGCCAGGTTACTTAGGCATGGCATAGTCTCCTCCTCACTCTAGATAGCCCCCTATGCCCGCCAGACCTCTGGCTATCACTGCAGCCAAGCCCCTGGACCCTCAGCTACCCCACATACCGGTAGAGTGAGACACAGAGGTCTGGGAGCCTGAGCCCCTACATAAATGCTGGCCATGCTGTTGGCTGGTCGAGCTGGTTGGTGGCTGGGGGATTGCATGGAGCCCAGGGTCCCGTGGTTTGTGGGAAAGCTAGAGCTCATGTTGTTCAGGGAGGAAGGCAAGAAGCCAAGACTCAGGTTCAAGCAACCAATGTTTTACTCTTTTTTTTTTCTCACCTGAGGATACTTTTTCCATTGATTTTTTTTTTTTTTTAGTGACAGTGGAGGGAAGGGAGGAAGGGGGGAGAGTGAGAAACATGGATGTGAGAGAGTCACATCGATTAGTTGCCTCCCACACTCGACCCTAACAGGGTTGGAAAACCTGCAACCAAGGTACACGTCCTTAATTGGGAATTTTGACCTAAACCAGCCAGGACATGTTTTACTCTTAATATGGCATTTGCTGTAAGTTTGCAACCCTTCTTTTTAAGTTATATTGAGTTTGTTTACATTTAATAATTGTAATAAATGCTTATAGAATAAATGCATAAGTGAATTTCTTCACACCTCATTTGTGTTTTGGGGGGGTTTTGGTGTAAAATATCACCCGAGGATATTTTTCCATTGATTTTTTAGGGAGAGTGGAAGAGAGAGGGAACGACAGAGAGAAATATCTATGTGAGAGAAACATCAACTGGTTGCCTCCTGCTTGAGCCCAGACTAGGGCCCGGGCCAGGAAGGAGTCTGCAACCAAGGTACGTGCCCTTGACCAGAATCAAACCCGGGACCCTTTGGTCCGCAGGCTGATGCTCTCTCCACTGAGCCAAACCAGCTAGGACTGTTTTTGGTTTTTTTAACCATAGTTAACATGAACATGTAAAATGAGGGTAAATGCAGTCTGATATGATTAGTCAATTTGATATGTGATGATACGTAATATGAACTAAATTGAACTTTTTTTTTCTTCCAGTAAAAACTTCATTTTTAAAATATGTTTTAATTGATATTTTTTTAAGAGAGAGAGGAAGGAAGAGGGAGAGAGACATCAATGAAACATTGATCAGCTGCCTCCTGCACACCCCTTACTGGGGGTTGAGGCTGCAACTCGGGCATATGCGCTGACCAGGAACTGAACCGGACCTTTTGGTGCATTAGATGACACTCAACCATCTGAGCCACATTGGCCAGGGCAAAACTTCATTTTCTTATGTCAGCTTTCTCCCAATCCATTAATAAATTAAGAACTGAACTGGAACAGGAGAGAGGTCCCATTTTAAATTCAAACAAAGTAAAGACATTCAGACTTAACTATAGACAATGGTAATGCCATTTAACAAGATTAATTCAATGTATATGTAACTGTCTACAAACATAAGGTTTTCCCCATGGCACAGCCCTACACTGCAATCATAATAATTCAACTGCTTTCGCATTTGGCAATATCATACAAATGAATTTGCTGATTACTAGCAATATTACAAAATGAACCCAGGGCCACATAATCAAGAGTCACAACAACAAAGAAACTAGGAATGCAGGTCAAGGCAGGATTTTGCAGCTGGCTAGATATGATGCAATTTGCCTGATTATCATTTAGGTATTTGCTGTAATGAATAAAGTAAGTATCTCCCAAGTTACTAGAAAAAAGGTATTACCTATCACCATTCTGTGACCAGGAAATTAAAATGTTCCCTGAATTTATAATTCAAAGAAAAAATTCTTTAAGAAGAACCATTCTCTATGTGCACAATAGAAGCTCTATTTAAGAATCACATTTAGACAATATGACATTAAAGTTCTATGGGAAAAACTAAGACAGCTTTTAATTTTGCTTTCATATCAAACTAATAGAGCACTTAAAAATTCAAGACGAGTGTGGGTTAGTCTGATTCAAGAAGTGCTTTCAAAATTCAACCACCTAGCTTCTTTTCAGGAGAAACTGTACATCATCACAAATATTTTCTAACTTAACTTTTGGAGAAGGAAATGGAAAATCAAACCCACAGCACAATGGTTGTGGTAGATATTTCCTCCTCAGCATCAGGCAAAGCCTTCTTATAAACCATTCTATTTCAACAGATGATTCAGCTGGTCCTGTAGATCCGATGACTGCTCAACACTAGAAATTAGAGAAAAAGTTTATGTAGAATGAGCAATAAAGACATCTCCGCAAATTATTTGTACTTTAACATATAAGTACTGTTGAAGCTAAATCAACATGTACATTGGTCTTCTAGGGTCCCAGAAGTTTTTAAACAACGAAGAAAAGGTTTGTAGAGCCAATTGATAGTGTAAACAATATTGCAAGGGACAGATTTAGTCCACTAAAAAAAAAAAAAAAAAGGGCTGTTTAATGATGTTAGCACATTTACTCTACTTAATGATGATCACCAATGTAAAAAGTTTTCTTAAGGTTGGTCTCTACACCGTTACTCTTAGAAAGCCTTTCCTAGTAGTGCATGCCTTTGAAATATACTGTATTCTTTATATCCCAAATGAGCTATGCCAGAGTGTCTATCAATTTAAGGGCATCTGTCTACCAGAGTTATGCACTAATCCTAGCCCCTGCAGTATAATTCCCTATAGCCTACTTCAGTTGGCTACCCACTCCCCTATCTGTGGGGTTACTTACTTCTTCTGAATAGCTTCTTGCCTAAATCAGAAAAGGAAGGAGGAAAACAAACATAAAAAAACTCAGTAGACTAGTAGAAGTTATTTACAGCCAGATATATACAGGCAGAACACATTTCCAACTTATGTCACATTCTATATTTCTGTCCATTCCATCCTAAGTTTGTGCTCATGAATCTGTTCACTACCAGAGTGCAGAGCTGCCGAAAAGATAGATTCTAAACCTAAGGAGGTAACAATATCCTATCACAGAGTGTAGGATGTAGTTTCACAAACTACATGCATGACTCAAATTTGGTTTGCAGAGTATGTAGAGTTAAATGGTCACATAGCTGATATGTACACATCCAACGAATGAACATCTAGTTATTTAAATATCAAGTTAAATTCCCAACCATACATTTCCAGAAGGTGCCTAAGTATAATATCAACAACATAAAATATAAAACAAAATTAAATAAGATGAAAAGCTAATTAAATCATAACATTATCCAAAGTTATAATGGAGAAGATGTCTTTACATTCCAAAATCTCCTGGATGATTTACACGTAGCTAGGGCTGCGCTACCTGTGGGGAGTGTAGGATATAGGTCAGTTACACTTGACTCCCCACAGAAGGAGCAGACTCCCCAGGAGAAAGCTCAAGCACAGACCATCAACAAATACTAATTAAGTGCCTACTGGGTGCCAAGCACTGTGCTAGCATGGTCCTGGCATGGGCCCTGCCATTATGGGGTTTACAGTCCCCTCCTCTCAGAAGCTCTCAAATTAACACAGAAAGGTTCACAAAAGGTGGTCCCTGCTCCTGATCTCACCCCTCACCCCGGCTTCAGCAATCTTTTCCAGAAGGAACTCATCCTTGACCAGCCCCACCAGTATTCCCAACTCCTGCTTCCACAGGAAAAACAGCTGAAGCACCAACACAGCAAGCAGCGGCCAAATTTGTAGCAAGGAGTCAGCAGAGAGGGCATACTCACTGGTACTGAAGATGTGTAGTTATTATTGCCATTTTCCTTAAACTCTGCATTAAAAAAAGAGAAATAGAACATCACACTTCCTTGTAGCCACACAAACTATGTATATAAAACCCAATTCATAAAAGAAATGGTTTCTTACATCTTCTGAGTGCAAGATGGCATCTTCCTGTAGTACCATGTTCCGAGCTGCCTGACCTAGCAGCTGGAAGACAAAAATAAAATGGTAATATTCAAAATGTCCAAACTTTCTGTAACCTCTCTGCAGCTGTTATGCCTCTGCCCTCTCCTCTCCCGCCCTCTCCTATACAACTACCAACACTCTAAATGTAATGGAGGATAATGTTCTATTTGTTCACGTTAAAAATCCATTTCTTTGTCACTGTGGCAGCTCTGGCATGGGCTCAACACCTGTTCCAAAGGCCACTTCCTGAGAAATGCAGTGCTCCATAACTGCTGAGTTCTCTGCATAGCTTATTAATCTAGTGCTGCGAGGAGAAGTCTGCAAAATAAAAAAGCAACCTTTGGTTCCACAAGCCCACTGAAAAGCTAACTTCCGATTTTTTAAAGACAAATTTGAGATTTGGGGTGGTTTGAGAGGAGCGAGGGGCAGAGGTTAGGGTAGGACTGAAGGCTAGAAGGAATGCAGCTGCTTAGAAGTAGAATAAGAGCCCCAGAAAGGGAGGGAACGGCTTGGGAAGAAGCTCAGGATTGAAAGTGGGAAACCTCGAGGTGAAGGATAGCAAGATGGGGGTAGGGAAGAAAAAAGAGAGGAGAAATGTGGAGGCAGATTTTAATGAGTTCACTGATGGCTGGCCCCTGAGCTCTGATTCAGTGGGGTGGTCTGTGGTCAAAGAGATGGGACTCAACACTGAGAGGCAAGAAGAGATCAACAGAGGTTTCTGGCCTACTGTTGCACCCTGATCCTGGCAGACGCTGTCGGCCTTGTAAAGGGAGCTATTATGTGTGTCCTCCAACCTTCCTTGTTCCTTTGGGTCAGAGTGATTATGGTAGGAAGGGGACCCATGACTTCAAATTAACCAGGAACATGAGCACTGCTACAGCCACCAGATTCCTTCCCTCATGGTAATTCTATTTATTGTCGTTTTTACATTTTAAAATTAATAAACCTTTACATACTTCTAATGTTAAAACAATAAAATACGACCTTCTATTCCACAGTCTCTCACCTTACTTGAAAGGTAACCTACAATATGCCCTCTTCCATACCCTGCTATTTTCACTTGACAACAAACATTTAGCTGAGTCTGCAGCATTTTCATTCAATCTCTTGCTTTAAGGGCTGCACAGCACTCCACTGTACATGTTCCATAGGATATTCAAAGTCCCATAAGAGTATGTGGACTTTGGGACTGTTTCCAGTTTTTTGCTATTAGGAGTGCTACAAAAAAAGTGCCTTAAATATCTTTGCTCCTTTTTGCCAGCCTATCTTTGGGACAGACTCATGAAGTCATGATTGTAACAGCTAGATCAGAGGGTTTTAATTTTGCTCCATATTGCCAAGTTCCTCTTCCATTAGTTATGCCATTTTGAATTCCCACTTTACAATGTCTGAGAGTGCCTGTTCCCTCCTGTGGCCACTTTTAAGTAGCAAACTCCAAACTCCTATAGATGGGGGATGTGACTGACAAACTGACGGCAGAAAAAGGGGTTCTAATGGAATCTTCATTCATTCATTCATTCATTCATTCATTCAATGATATTTATTAAGTTCCTATGATATGCCAGTAAGAGACATAGTCACTGTCCTAATGGGGCTCACAGCAGGGAGTTACAGAGAGGACACCGGCATTTCAATACCTGCCCTGAGTGCTGAGGGAAAGCACTGGATGCCTTGAGCACATGGTCCTGGGGGGGCAGGAGGGGTATGTCTAATCCATTACAGGGGCAGGTGTTCAGGGAGCGGTTCCTAAAAGAGATGTCTTCTAAGCTGAGACTTAAAGGTTGGGGTTTAGAATTCCTCATCAGTGTACCAGTAATTTTACAGAAAAATGGCATGATCAGATTTACCATTTTATAGGTGTGGTAAGTAGAATGGACTAGAGAGGAACTGAAGGCAGAGAGATTGGGTAGGAGAACACTGCAGTATTCTAAGCCAGCAACCAGAGTGGCCGGAACCACAGACGTGGCAGTAAATAAAAAAGGGGCCCTGGCCAGTTTTGTTCAGTGGTTAGTGTGTCAGCCCGTAAGGGTTGCATTTTGATCCCTGGCTCTGGTGGGGGAGCATTCGGCACCAATCGATGTCTCTCTCTTTCTCTCTCCCTCTCTCCTCCCCCACCCCCTTCCACTCTCTCTGAAAAAACAATAGAAAAAAATATCCTCTGGTGAGGATTGACAAAAAAAAAAGGGGGGGGTGGGAGGGTGGAAAGGGGTTGAGAGACTTTTAGAAGATAGATTTGGTGTGATTGCCTGGAATGCTGTTGTAATGCAGGGCCAAGGTCGTTCCTTTGATGACAGATGTATTTGGTGGCATTGTACATCATTTTCTTACATAAACCGACCACACACATAGTGTATGATCTAAGGTTTTCAGTTTGGGTTTCTTTTGAGTGCTGAGTCTTTTTAGATTTTTAGGGTTTTCACCCCAGGCCTTTACCACTGTCTTGCTCATAATTAACTCAACAGCAGCTTGTCTTAGTACTCATCTTCAACAAGTATTTCTGACTTTCAACTTAGTTTTCATAGCAATAGCAACCCTCTTTTCTTTTTTGCACTCACAGTTCATTGTTTTCCATATTATCCCATTAGAAAATGTCATTTCAATAACAAGCTGAGCGCTTTACACAGGTTTAGGGAAAAAAGAAAAAGGACCCGCACTAAGCACATGATTCACCTGGAGCAGCACATGAGTCACAGCCTTCATTGTGCTATGGACACACGCTGGTGTGTTTCTCCCTCACTTCGTGCCAGCCATAGTGGCCTCCATGCATTTATTGTGCACATGCCCATCACAAGGTTTCGCACCTGCTACTTCCTTGGAGCTCTCTGCCTCCATTTTGCCCACATGACTTGCTCCCTCACTTCATTCTAGTGCAGTGGTTCTCAACCTTCCTAATGCTGCGACCCTTTAATACAGTTCCTCATGTTGTGGTGACCCCCGACTATAAAATTATTTTCATTGCTACTTCATAACTGTAATTTTGCTACTGTTCTGAATCGTCATGTAAATTTCTGATATGCAGGATGTATTTTCATTGTTACAAATTGAACATAATTAAAGCATAGTGATTAATCACAAAAACAATATGTAATTATATATGTTTTCCGAAGGTCTTAGGCGACCCCTGTGAAAGGGTCGTTCGACCCCCAAAGGGGTCGCGACCCACAGGTTGAGAACCGCTATTCTAGTGTCTGCTCAAATGTCACATTCTCAGAGAGCCCTTTCCTGGTCAACCTATTTCGGTAAACCCTTTCGTCACTCTCTAGTCCCAGCTTTATTTTTCTTCACAGCATTTATAACCACCTGATTCTTGTATGTGTGTCATGTGTTTGTCTCCTCACCAAAATGTTAGTTTCCTAAGTACAGGGACTTTGTTTTGTCTCCTGACACACAGCAAATACTCAATAGGTGTTTATTAAATGAATGCTGTGGAAGGAATGTTTTACATATGGAAATTGTCAGTTCAAACAAAATATCTATGTGGAATCTGCTGAAGAGAGAAGCAGTGCTCTATGGGGTTGAGAAGGAGTGAAATCAGTAAGACACTCCAATAACCTCATATTCTACTAAAGAAAATGGCAAGGTATGTAAGCAACTATAGAAGAAGGAAATACAGTATGTGGTAAGTATCAGGTAAGAGATTCAGTAAAAAGATGAAGTTCATGAGCGTTCCCACTCCAGGGAGCTCGGGGGCACCTTTCCCTTCCCCCTCCTCTTCCCTCTCAGGTGTGCATCTCCTAACTCTAAGGAACCCCACAGGCTTGTAACTTGGGAGCAGTGGGCAGCGGCAGCGCTCGTACCAGGCTGACCCCTGGCCCTGTCTCCAAGGCCCCCTTTTCTCAGATTTCCCAGTGGGCCAAAGCAGCCCCACCCAGGCTCTCCTGTTGCTTCTTCTATCCTAAGCCCTTTCTTGTTTCACTGTCCCCAGCTTTAATAAAAGTACTCTCAAAATAATAAAAATTAAAAAAAAGAAAATACTGACCTCACCAGCTGATTGCTCAACAGAAAGTTTGCAGGCCAGAGATTGGCCCAAAATACTCAAAGTGAGGAAAAGCTAAGATCTAGAACTCATGGTCCAGTCTCTTTCCGTTAGGCTCACCAATAAGGAGGGACCAGTCCTAATGTAAGTGATATCCACAGGTCACTCACTCCCTAATTTTATTTCATTAACAGCTTTCCTCTTTAACTTCAACTAACCCTTGTGTAAAGGGTAGCAAAATCATCTGCTTAGAATTTGCTATTCTTGCATTCCCCTAGGTCCGAGCCGCAGTTTGCCGACCACTGCCCTAGGAGATACATATTGAACAATCAAGTGTCAAATTAGCAAAGAGAAATGAGTATAAAGTCAGTAACCTGGGTGATCATCAATCAGTCACTAACCAAATGCTAGGGTCACCATCTGTCGCAGTCTGTTTTCATAACAATAAAACACATTAACTTGAAAAGTGTCAACCTCCTTGTGTTGTTCAAACAAGCCAGAGTGAAAATAAGCCCTCTATTGTGTTGAGGAAGCTTTCAAAATGAAATTGGAAGTTCTGCAGAAGCTTGTAGACTTGGACATCTTGACATATAAATATAACTCTAAATATGAAATATGGTTAATAGAAAATACCATTGTTTATAGAGGGGGGAGGTGATCCTATATAGGTTTTACTTTTTTTGGTCTTTTAATTCAAAAATGTATGAAACATAGAAATTTTTTTAAATTCTACAGGATTAGCACTAAGAAGCAAAAATGTTGTTAAGAATGGAAAGAATTTTGAAAGTAGGAAGCAGATTAAAAGATACTCAGACACCTGCAAGTTATAAAAACCTAAATGTAACTGCTAAATTTTATAGCTCATCAAGAACATTTAAAAGAGATAAAGGTCTTGCCCAACTGGTGTGGCTCGGTGTTTGAGCATCAACCTATGAATCAAGAAGTCATGGTTCGTGTCCAGGCACATTTAAAAAAAAAAAAAGAGAGAGAGAGACTTCTTTTATACAGGTGGGTACAGGATAGTTAAGTCAACAATTAACTCAATTAACAATGAGGGGATTTGTGGTCTCCTCCCTGGTCTGACGGTTGTGCCCAAAGGGGTCTGAAAAAACTGATGTTATTTATAACATACCTTTGACATTCCAAAGGTATGTTATTAAAAAAAATAACTAGAATTCAATTGAACTTTTACTTTATAGAAAATGCAAGCCAGGAGAACAAGTTCATTGACTATACAATTGTAATGAGATATTCCAGAATGTTGAAAATGATTTAGGAAAATAGTGATGCACAAAAGATGGAAGACATCTGGGATGTTGAAGGCAAAACCATGCGGAATTTGGGGGCCGGAAGAGACGGAGACAACCCGGAGAAATAAATGAGGAACTGGTTAGGATTACTATCCCCCCGCCCCCTGTCGTCCTGCGACCACCGCTGCTTTTTAAAACCCAGATTCCCTTCCTCTCGTTCCTTTCCCCTCCGATACCGCTGGTCCTCCCAACACTACACTTCCCAGAATGCAACACCTCCCTCCGCGGACGAGCTCTACTCGCCGCCACAACCCACAGCCCACTATTCCCAAGATGCAACGCGACCCCCTGTCCACCGCCTGGAAAGCCCGCAGTCCCGGGGCCCGAGGCCCGGGGAGTGGGCCGCGGCTCACCTCGGAGCTCCGCGAGCCCTTCAGCACCTGCTTGGTGAGGGCGATGACGTCGGTCCCGCAGGTGTTCACCTTCTCCGTGAGAAGCCCCTTCACGGACTGACCGAACCGCGCCTGCGAGTCTGGCGCCCCGGTCGCCATCCCCTCACCGCCGCCAGTGAACGCCTCCGCGGGGCGATGGCGAGTCGCCGGGGCCAAAAGAGCCGCAAAGCGGAAGGAAACGAGGAGGCAGGGAAGGGATGCATTGTGCCTAGCAGAGGTTCATCTTGGCTAATTTTACATTCATTTAAAATGCTCAGTTGATACCCGGAAGAAGACAGGTCCCGAGCAAACATCTCTGGAGGAAATGGAGGACAATTTCAGTAAATTCGTGGTGTAAAGTCAGAAGACCATTTGTGTGGCTGCAAATTGTGCAACCTCTGCGTCGTGTGTTCCTCATCAGTAAAATAAAAATAATGTTAAATCTCCAAAGGGTTACGAGAGTAAATTAAGATCATTCAGTTCCACTTTAACAGCACCGTGCTCGTATTTGTGAGCGAAATACAAACGCTGTGCTGGGCTGAGGATAGAGAAAGAACCGGGACACACACAGTCCTTGTCTCCAAGGCGCTCCCAGGCTGATGAGGCCTGTAAACAGGAACAGCCCAATAGAAAAATTGGTAACGTTCACAAACAGACAATTTTTTAAAAAGCAAATGGCCAATAAATGTAAAAAGTTATCAGCACCACTAGTCTTTTTTTTTTTTTTTTTAATCCTCACTGGAGGATATTTTCGGGGGAGTAGAAGGGAGAGGGAGAGACAGAGAGAAACATCGATGTCCTTTGCTTGCCTCCCACGGGTGCCCCAAGTGGGGCTGGGGATGGAGCCTGCAACCCATCTGGGATGAACCCTTGACCCTTCAGTCCTCTAACCAAAGCTGCAACTACTGGGCAAAACCGACTAGGGCTCCACTAGTCATTTTTTTTTTTTTAATTGATTTCAGAGAGGAAGGGAGAGGGAAAGAGAAACATCAATGATGAGAGAATCACTGATTGGCCTCCTCTGCACGCCCCCCGCACTGGGGATGGAGCCCACAACCCAGGCAGGTGCCCTGATGGGGAATCGAACTGTGACCTCCTGGTTCATGGGTCGGTACTCAATCACTGAGCCATGCTGGCTGGGCTCCACTGGTCATTTTTTTAATGATAAATGACCTCTTTGTTCTATTAAAAGCAAACTGATTAGCACCTTGGAAAATAGTACCTGAAATGTTTCATGTAGTTCTGTTTCTTTTGTAGCTAATGCACAAGAGAATGAGAGTGGCATATTACAAATTTTGTTTAAAATCACCTTTACTCAGCCCCACTGGTGTGACTCAGTGGTTGAGCATCAACCTATGAACCAGGAGGTCCCCGTTGGATTTATGGGCCAGGGTTGCCGCTCAATCCCCAGTAGGGGGCATGCAGGAACAACCAATTAATGATCCTCTCTCATCACTGATGTTTCTCTCTCCCTCTCCCCTCTCTAAAATAGATTTTTTAAAATCACCTTTACCCAGTATCAACATTACTTTTCTTCCAAACGCTTAGATTCATGTTTCTGTTGATTCTTTCATTTAACTCTTGTTCTTAATCAACTTTATTAAGTTGTAATTTATGTGCAATGACTACATTCTTTTACCTATTTTTTAAATGTTTTTATTGATTTATTTTTATTTTTATTTTTTTTAGAGAGAGAGAAATGGAAAGCAGAACATCTATTGGCTGCCTCCTGTACGCCCCCTACTGGGGACCAAGCCCTGACCGGGAATTGAAAGGGCTACCTCTCCATGTACACACTGGCCAGAGCTTATTGATCTTTTAAAGAACCAGCTTTTGGTTTTGTTAATTTTCTCTATTGCTTTCCTGTTTTAAATTTTATTGATTTCTATTTTTATTTCTTTCTGCTTAATTTAGGTTTATATTGCTTTTCTTCCTCTAGTTTCCTATGGTGGAAACTTAGAGTATTGATTTTAGATGTTTTTTCTTTTCTAATATATGTATTCAATACCGTAAATTTCCCTCTAATTTCTGCTTTCACTGTAACCCACAAATTTTAATAACTTGTATTTTCATTTTTATTTAGTTCAACATATTTCTTAAATTTCTCTTAGGATTTATTCTTTGACTCATGTGTTATTTAGAAGTGTGTCATTTAATTTCCAGTATCTTGGGATTTTCCCAGCTATCTCTCTCTTACTGGTTTCTGTTATTATGTGGTCTGAGAGCATATTTTGTATGATTTTTGTTGAAGTGTGTTGTATGGCCCAGAATATAGTCTATCTTGGTGAATGTTTCATGTGAGCTAGAGAAGAATGAGTATTCCACTGTTGTGAATTGAAATAGTCTATAAATGTCAGTTATCCAGTTGATTTGTAGCTAATTAATACTAATCATCTGAGTCAGGCAACTGCAGTGCTGCCCAATTTTGGCTGAAAGCTCAGAGAAAACAAGTATGAAACTTACTTGGATAAGTGTAAAATATCTTCATGTTCTGGTAAGACTCCTGCTTTTGGCTAAGATGGAGTAAAAAACAATTGGATTTCCTCACACCTGAAACAACTATATAAATAAGATAAAATATATGATGTAATCATTTTCTTTAATACACTAAGCATCAGACAGTAAACTCTAGTGATCTCTGAGGCATGGGGAACAAATGAGATGAGTCCAGTAATTTCTCCAGCTTACTGCCTGAATAAAGTTTCACAGGGAAGGAAAATTCAAGCAGAGCCTAGTGAAGGAGACAAACCTGGGAGAGGAAGAGACAAGGCTGGGATTCTGGGGAGGTCAAGGAGGCTAGAGGTTGCAGGAAAGCAAAGAGAGCTCTACAGTCAGATGAGTGTAGGGGGCAATGATTAATGTCTCTAGTTTAAGGTCATCCATTTCTAAACTCCGTAAGGATAAGGAGCAGTACCTATTTGTTAAAGGTTGAATATTGGTGATAGTTAAAACCTTGAGAGGGGTGAGATCAACCAAGAAGAATGTAGATGGAGAAGGGCCAAGGACAGACTTGACATACACAAGATGACAGAGGGAACGAGAAGAAAAACAAAAGAATTACAAAGAATCCAGAGCTACGTGATATTTCGTATTAGAGGATTTAAAGAAGATGGAAGTCCTCAACAATGCTAATGGAGAGCTTTTATAAGAGAAGGTCTGAAAGACCTCCATCCGATGGATTCAGCAACATGAAGGTCATTGCTGATGTAATTAACAGAAGTACCAATAGGGTGGTGGGGTCAGAGGCCAAACTGCAATGAGTTACAATGAGTGGGAAATAAGATAGAGACACAAGTGTTCATCACATTATTTCACCAAGAAGTCTGATTGAAAATAGGAGAGAAATTAAAGGAAAATTAGAGGGGAATTTAAAGTCAGGATTTTAAAATTTCATGTGGGATAAAAGTCTTGAGTGTATATGTCAGCTGAGAAGAAGTGAATAGAGAGGACATGTTGAAGATGCAAGAGGAAAAGAAATCTGTAGGTAGGGGAGAATAAAGTTAATAGGTGGAGGGCTCAATTTCTCAAAAAATATTTTATTTAATACAGTTAAAACAGTTTCTCTCTGTTCCTCTCTTCCTTTATTCTTTCTAAAAATGTTAACTCAACTTTGAAATGGTAATGTGTTCACATGCTTCAAAATTTTATAAAGGTATAAAAAGGGTGTACACTGGAAAGTCTTGTCCAACGGTGTGCAAAGGTGTAATGGTCACCATGAGAAAGTATCTTAAGACCAACAAATGAAGTAAGCAACTCCATAGAATATAAAAAATTTACTATAGGGTAATTTACTTACAAGAATGCAGGTTGGCCCTAACTGGTTTGATTCAGTGGATAGAGCGTCAGCCTGCGGACTGAAAGGTCCCAGGTTCGATTCCAGCCAAGGGCATGTACCTTGGTTGTGGGCACATCACCAGTAGGAGTTGTGCAAGAGGCAGCTGATCGATGTTTCTCATCGATGTTTCTAACTCTCTATCCTCTCTCCCTCCTTCTCTGTAAAAAAATCAATAAAATATATAAAAATAAAATAAAAAGAATGCAGGTTGGAGCAAAGATGACCCAGCAGTTTTGCGCAAATTTTCTCCACTAACAGATCCTGTTACATACTTTTTTTGTTTAGTATAACTTAGATACTAATGATTGATAAGACCAGGGACGCAGAACAAGCCAGGGGCTGTACCTTCTGGTGGTCTTGTGAAAAATGATGGTTTATAATCAACACTTCAGTTTGATATTTATCTCAATTGTTATACCATTTCAGCTATTTCTAACAATAACATATAAGGCTACATTTTAAGGAGCACAGATACTCATCAACTGGAAGGCTTTGGTATGCTTTGCTAAAGACAGTGTTGGTCAAAGCTCAGAGCACTCCAGATACAAAATTGGTTTTGTTTACATCAACATCTATACAGTTTTTCTTCCCAACTATTTTTTCCGTAGACAACTAAATTCATAAGCTTCTTGTGTATCCTTCCAGAGGTGTTTTATGCACAGACAAGCAAAAAGTACATATCTTCTCTGGAGGGAAGAATGGAGGCATTTACTACACACCAATCTTGCTTTTGCTTTTTTTTTTTTTAACCTAATGCATTTTAGAAATCTTGCCATAAAAAGTACATAAAGTGTTTCCTCCTTTTTCTGATTATAATCCAATCTCCTATTGATGCAGCATTTATTACTGGAAATTATAAATATTGCTGAAATGATTTGTATATCAAACTATGAGACATCTACAGGTTAAATTCTTAGAATTGGAATAATTTATTCAAAGGTATGTATATAGAAATTTTCAGTCTATATTATGAGAAGCAGAATAGCATTGCTATTAAGAGCTGAGAGCTCTATACTGCTTGAATCCTTGCTTCATCACTGACTAGTTCTGTGGCCTTGGGCAAGTCCTTCTGCCTGTTTCCTCATCTGAAAAATGAAAATGGTGATAATAATAGCACCTATCATAGAATTGTTAGAAAGAGTACATGAAATAGCCCTAGTCGGTGTGGCTCAGTTGGGCATTTGTCCCATGCACTGAAAGATTGCTGGTTCAATTCCTGGTCAGGGCACATGCCTGGGTTGTGGGCTCGATCCCTGGTAGGAGTTGTGGAGGAGGCAGTCCATTGATGTCTTCCTTTCACATCACTGTTTCTCTCTCTCTCTCTCTCTCTCTCTCTCTCTCTCTCTCTCTCAAAAAAAAAAAAAAAAAAAAAGTAGCCTGGCCCTAGCTGGTGTGGCTCAGTGGATAGAGCATCAGCCTGTGGACTGAAAGGGTCCTGAGTTCAATCCCAGTCAAGGGCACATGTCTGGGTTGTGGGCTCAATCTCCAGTAGGGGGTGTGCAGGAGGAGGCAGCTGATTAATGATTCTCTCTCATCGATATTTCGATCTCTCTCTCCCTCTCTGAAATCAATAAAAAATATATTTTAAAAAAATTTAGCCCAGCAGCATGGCTCAGTGGTTGATCATTGACCTATGAACGAGGAGGTCATGGTTTGATTCCTGACCAGGGCACATACCTGGGTTACGGGCTCATTCCCCAGTGTGGGGTGTGCAGGAGGCAGGCAATCAATGATTCTCTCTCATCACTGATGTTTCTATCTCTCTTTCCCTCTCCCTTCCTCTCTGAAATCAATAAAAATCTATTTTTTAAAAAAATGTTAAAAGGTCTTCTTTAAGAAGAAAGAGAAGGAAAGAAAAGATAAAAAAAATGAACAATAAACAATATGAACAATAAAGTGGTAATAAATACATATCTATGAACAACTGAATCTTAAAAACAAAATAAATGAACAAGCAGAACAAAAACAGACTCATAAATACAGAGAATATTTTGGCGGTTGCCAGATGGGAGGGGATTTTGGGGGATGGGTGAAAAAGCTGAAGGGATTAAGAAGTACAAATTGGTTGTTACAGAACAGTCATGGGGATGCAAAGTACAGCATAGGGAGCACAGTCAATAATATTTTAATGACTATGTAACTATGAATGGTGTCAGATGGGTGTACGATTTATTGGGGTGATCACTTAGTAAGTTATGTAACGTCTAATCACTGGGGTGTACACCTGAAACTAATATAATGATGTATGCCAAGTGTAATTTTTTAAAAAAGAATATTTTAAAAAAATAGCTCCTCATTTAAAAAAATAGCTCCTCATCCCTCCCTAGCCTTCCATTTCAGGGCTCCAGAGCCTGATTCAATCAACCTGTCAGATGTTATTCTTAAGGGATCCCCCACAGCACACCTCCTTCATGTCTGCAGTCAGGACCATTACCATTCCACGCACATCCTGCCCTTCCAGCCTCCACATACTTGACTGCTGTCGTCTTGGCAGTGCCTTCCTCCCACACTCTCCATGCCTCTGCCTAATAGTCCTAACGCTCCTTCAAGGCCTACCTCAAACCCCCTTTCCTCATAAAGATTTCTCTGACTACCCCCACCCATACCTCCAACCGTAAGTGGTCCTAGATGTCTGAGCCATTTTTGGCCATTTCGAGTCGTGGGCAACCAGACAGCCTGGCTTGCAAGGCCTTGCCCAGTTTCAGCAGCCATCACACTAGTCTGTATTCCTCAAAGTACAGACACTGGCAGGTCATCCTCAGAGAGGGGCAGAACATCCTTTGTGAATCTCACTCCATGAGTCCTAGTTGCCTGTCTGAGGTCCCACCTCTTCTATGATGACTGACACCAGGAATGTTCACCTCCTTGGGGCTATGACTTCATATGATAATATCAAATCATTGATAAATACTGATGAGCCACTGAAGACTTTTATCTATCAGGGAGATTTAATAAGAGCTCAGAACAACCAGGAGGCCCATTTTAGTGTAATAATGATAACAGTAAATATTAAATGAGCACTTACTTCATCCCAGGCAGCACTTTTACATGCATGATCTCATTGAATCACAATCCTGAGAAGTGGATTTCATTCTTGTTCCCACTACCAGAGGAGGAAACGGAAACATTTTTTTAAATCCTCACTTGAGGATATTTTCCCACTGATTTTTAGAGAGAGTGGAAGAGAGAGGGAAAGACAGAGAGAAATATCAATGTGAGAGAAACACATAGATTGGTTTTGCCTCCTGCACTCACCCTGACCAGAGCCTAGGCTGGGGAGGAGTCTGCAACTGAGGTACATGTCCTTGACGGGAAACGAAATTGGGACCCTTCGGTCCACAGGCTGATGCTCTAGCCACTGAGCCAAACCAGCTAAGGTGGGAAACACTTAAAAGTCTAAGTTAACATAAAATTACCATGTGATCTAGCAATTCCACTTCTAGGTATATACCTAAAAGAACTGAACACAGGTATTTAAATACATACTTGTACATCCATGTTCATAGCAGCATTATTTTCAATAGCCAAAAGGTAGAAACAACCAAGTGTTCATCAACTAATGAATGAATAATATTCCATACAATGGAATAAGTGGTCCTAAGTGTTTGACCATTTGGAGTAATGGGCAACCAAACAGTCTGGCTTATAAGGCTTTGCCCAATTTGGAATGGATACAATGGAATATTGTTCAGTCATAAACAGGAATGAAGTTTTGATGCCTGCTACAACATGGGTGAAGGTCAAAAACATTATGCTAGATGAAGTAAGCCACATACATACACTTACATACACACAGAAAACTATAATTTTACTTATGTGAAATAGACATATTCATAAAGACAAAGTAGATTAAGAGGTTACCAGGAGCTGGGAGCTGCTGTTTAGTGGGTACAGTTTCTGTTTGGGATGATAAAATGTCAGGGCCAGCCTGACAGGTTGAACTGGGCTGAGGTAGGGTGGTGGGAATTGAGAAAAGAAAGAAAGACAGGAGAGCGGGATTGGGAGGACTACAGGTCAATCGAGAGACTGCAGTAAGTTTATTAACCACGCAATGCCTTTTATACACAAAACACTGAATAGGAGGTCTGTCAAGAGGAATGTATTCTTTGTTCCTCTTAATCTCTAAGGGAGGGACAGAGCAGAAGGACAAATTCTCGGTACAGCAAATCTCAGTAAATAGTTACAGACTTCTTGGTAAGCCATGAAAGGCTGTTCTCATTCTACAAAGGTTGCTCTCATTCTACTGATAACCGCCATCCAAACAAGTCTGGGAAACTGTGTGGGTAAGGGTCCCAGCCTTGCTAGCCCCTTCAGGTGCAAGGTCCGTGTCAGCTTACACCTGGTCTCCAACAATAAAAATGTTTTGAAAATAGATAGGGGTGATGGCTACACAACTTGTGAGTATATTTTTAACACTACTTAATTATACCCTTCAATGGTTAAAATGGTAAATTTTGTTATATATGTTTGAATATAATAAAACCAATTTTTTTAAAAAAACATCATATAGCTAGACAGTGGTCAAGCTAGGATTTGAACCCAAATTTATCTGACTCTAGGGTCCATGCTCTCAACCTTAGGGCTTCACTGCCTCTGGAGAGGACAGCCAAACACGAATCAGGACATCTGAGTTCTTGCCTTGCTGTCCTGTGTGACGTGTACAGCCTGACCTTTTAAGGCCTCACTTTCCTCAACTATTACATAGTAAGACCAGATAAAATGTCGTTGACCGTTCCTGGCCGTCATTTGTCTGGTGATTTGGATTTTACAGCATGGAATGCCCCAAACCTGATTCCTGACCCAGATACCATTTGCTTCTGGCGCACACTGGGAATGGGGGGGGGGGCGGGGGTGGGGGCAGCTATCCACCCCATACTTTGCTCCTCCCTTAGAGGTTTGCCCTGGAGTTGAGCCAGCCCTTGAGGAGGCCTCCACTCCCCCTTCCTTTCCCCATTCTGGGAGAGGTTCTGGTCTGGCTGCACTCCAGGATAAACTTCCACAAGGCAAGAGATAACACAAAGTCAAGGTGAAGATCATGGCAGCCCTTAAAAAGGCCTCCTTGCACCCTAGAGTGGCTGCAGCTCTTCCACTCCAGAGCTGTCCACCCTGCCTGCCGGCGCCTGGCCACCATGTGGGAGCTCTTGGCTCTCTTGCTGCTCACCCTAGCCTATTTTCTTTGGCCCAAGGTAAAGAGCCCTGGTGCCAAATACCCCAAGAGCCTCCCATCCCTGCCCTTGGTGGGCAGCCTGCCATTCCTCCCCAGAAGTGGCCATCCGCACGTGAACTTCTTCAAGCTGCAGGAAAAATACGGCCCCATCTATTCCTTTCGTATGGGGAGCAAGACTACAGTGATGATCGGCCACCACCAGCTGGCCAAGGAGGTGCTTATCAAGAAGGGCAAGGAATTCTCCGGGAGGCCCCAAGTGGTAAGCAAGGCCCATTGTCCCTCCTCTCTCCCACCCTTGTTCAGTTCTTGGGCCAAGACCATGCCTAGAATGACCCTTTCAGCTCCAAACAACTTGTAATTCTTCCCCAAAGCAGACTATCAGGGCTCTGGGTTGGGGAGCAACCCCTCAAGGTTCTACCCAGCCTCTAAACTAGGCAGGAAGAATTAAAGGAAGGCCTCGTTTTCTGAGCTGCCCAGAAGGTGAAGTGGGGTGGGAGCAATGGCCTGAGGGGGGTCAGGGAGCCCTCACTCCTGTCATCTCATCCCGGAACTGGATAATGATCTCTCGGAGCCTAACATTTCCCTAATTAACTGAGATTGTGCATGTAAATATCTTAGCCCAGTGCCCAGTGCATAATAGTTATATGGATGTTACTCTTCATGTGAAAAATGCGGATAGTGGATACTGTCCTCTGTGGGAAAGTGCAAGGGGTCGCCTGGTCTGGGAGGGCTGAGGTTGCTGTTTCTCTGGAGCTGTCCCCAGCTGCTCCAGCTCACGGGGGTGGGGGTGAAGGGGTGGGCAGGCTGACCCACAGTAGCATTTTTAAGGTACTGATGCTCTATCCTACAGAGCTTCCGGTGGTGCTCCTGGAGGAACAGGGAGCTAACCATCCAGAAACACTGCCAATGCCCATCCCAGCCCCCTGCTGCTGAGTACTCCCATGAACACCCCAGGCAGAGCCCCCAGCCATGCATCTTTGATCAGGCCAAGGGTTGACTGGTTTTCCCTTGGACCAGTCAGCCAGGTTTGCTAGCCAACTACCTGCCTCCCAACTCTACTGAGCTCTTCTCTTCAGTGCAGAGGAAGGAGGAGGCTAGTTACTTGGGCTTTGCAGGTCAGGGGAGGGCAGAGGGGAGGCTTTGGACCCTTGTGCTTTTGGGGGTGCCTCTGGGAAGAGATGGTTTACCCAAGTTCAGACTGGGTGGACAAGACATCTGCACTCTCAGATGTGGCCCTGTGGGGGGGGACATGGCCTTGTAATGGAAGGGTGAACAAGGAGGAGATGAGCTTTGGTGCCATTAGCACTTCCCAGGGCGCCCAGGGCAAGGCAGAGGTCTGGGTAGTCCTCAATCTCTACAAGCCCCCCATCCCCACTCCTATCCCCAAGACAGGCCCAATTCAGAGACCTTATCCCATCCACAAAAGAGAGGCTCAGAGGTCCTCTGTCATTAAACTGAACCCAAGAACCCCTGCATTCTGAGTGTTCTTTCTTTTTCCTCTCTCTCTCTCTCTCTCTCTCTCTCTCTCTCTCTGATGGAATTGGGAGTGAGAGGGGCTTAGGACCTGATCTACCAAGGCCTCACTGTCTTGGAGAGAAGCAGGGATGCCCCACAGCATGGCAGTGACTGCCTTATCCCTTAGGGCAGTGGTTCTCAACCTGTGGGTAAAGAGAGGCTCAGAGGTCCTCTGTCATTAAACTGAACCCAAGAACCCCTGCATTCTGAGTGTTCTTCCCCCCCCCCCCCCTGTCTCTGATGGAATTGGGAGTTAGAGGGGCTTAGGACCTGACCTACCAAGGCCTCACTGTCTTGGAGAGAAGCAGGGATGCCCCACAGCATGGCGGTGACTGCCTTATCCCTTAGGCATGGGAATGGGTGCAGGAGACCCAGGGCAAGGGTGGATGGGTGGTGTCTAACTCCTACAGCCTTTCCTGTTTTCCAAAGACGACTCTAGATATCCTGTCAGACCAGCAAAAGGGTGTTGCCTTTGCTGACTATGGTGCCGGCTGGCAGCTGCATCGGAAGCTGGTGCTGGCCACCTTTGCCCTGTTCAAGGATGGCAACCTGAAGCTTGAGAAGATCTGTAAGTGCCCAGCCAGCCCCTAGGGCTCTGGAGGGAGAAGAGGGTTGGGGAGGGAAGAAGGAATAGGGATGGTTCAATCTAGCGTTTTCTTGGCTACGACTGCCATCTAGTGGCCATCCGCTACCTGTCCCTGACTAAGGTGGAACTGGTAGAGACGAGGTGAGGGTGCTGCTTAATTCCCCAGCCTCCTGTTCCTCTCTCCCCTCAGTATGTCAGGAAATCAGTTCGTTCTGTGACTTCCTGGCCACCCAGAACGGACAGTCCATAGATTTGGGCTTGCCTCTCTTCTTCGCGGTGACCAAAATCATCTGCTTGATCTGCTTCAACACCTCCTACAAGAACGAACATCCTATAATGAAGACCATACAGACATACAATGATGGCATCATGGAGTCTCTGGGCAAGAACAGTATAGTAGACATATTCCCTAAGCTGAAGGTAAGGATGAGAACGGGCCCCACCTTCAGATCCCAGTAGACCCTGACAGCTTCCCCAATTCTTACTCCTGCCCAGCACCAGACCCACCTTTTTCTTGACCACCTCGGCCACTGTGACCTCTATCTTCTCTGACTCTTAAAACTTGGCTGCTTCTCTACATGCATGTTATACTCATAATAATGGATCATATTTATTTACTGTCGTGTGCCGGTATTGAGCACTCTACATGCATTCATCATGGCATTCCCCTTGGAGGTAGGTCTTATTATCCCCATGCAGATGAGAATACAGGCTTTGGGAAATTATGAAACTTGACCGTGGCTTCAGACTCAAGTGTATCTTCCTGTTAAAGGCTGAGCACACCACAGAGCTTATCTGCTAAGTAAACATCAGTGCTTGATGTTTGATTGAATGGGAAGGGGGAAGTGGAGACCAATTCCAAACAAGCGGTGGGGTTGTAGAGATTGAGGACTACCCAGACCTCTGCCTTTCCCATCCTGTGCTCCCACCTTGCCTTGCATTTTGGTGGAAGGTTGGGGTTGGAGAGGGAACTCTTCCGAGACAGAAGGCGAGGATCTACCCCCACGAGGGATTCTGGTAGCTGTAGAAGCAGAATGCAAGAGGGATGCATTTGAAATGTCTTTCTGCTTTCCAGATTTTCCCCAACAAAGCCCTGGAAATAATGAAGAATTGTACTAAAATGCGAAATGAGTTGCTGACTGAGATCTATGAAAAACATAAGGTAGGTAATGGAGCAGAAGAGATTGCCAGTTAGGTTGAAAGTATCGTGAGACCAGGGTTGGGGTCCGTTTTCCACACCATAGCATCGCCAGAAGCTAGCAGAGAACCTGGCACATAGTAGGTGCTCAATAAAAATTGACCTAACTAATGAATAGGGGTGGGGAAGTGAGGAATTGAAGAGGATCCTAGAAGGGACCCATCCACCACCTCAAATTTAAAGAGGACCTAGAGCTGGCTCACCTCCACAAGCTCATAGGTCCTGATTAGACTCCCCTGGTCCCTCACTTCCAAGTGGAAGAAGGCTTTGTACCTCTAGCCTAGGATGGAAGTATGGGAGGGTGTTGCAGACAGGGCTCCTCCCTTCTCACATTCCCAACTTTACCCAACCAGAAGAACTTCAACAGCAACTCTGTCACTAACTTGGTGGACATCCTGATTCAAGCCCAGATGAACTCAAGCAATAACAACACTGGCTCAGACCAGGATTCAAAGCTGCTTTCAGATCGACACGTTCTTGCCACCATAGGGGACATCTTCGGGGCCGGTTTGGAAACCACCACCTCTGTGGTGAAGTGGACTGTGGCCTTCCTGCTGCACAATCCTGAGGTGGGCTTCTCCTTACTACAGTGTTCCCAACCACTCTTGATCTCAGCCAGATGCAACTCTGGGGGGGGGGTGGGGGGAGAGAAATACCCCCAAGCCTTTTATGCAGATGACTAGACTGCTCCCTCCGTCCTTACCATGCAGTGGTTGGCTCTGGCCCTAGGATGGAGCTGCCTCATCTTCGGGAAGGAAAGCCTAGGCTGCAGAGCCACCATGGGGACGGGTCTGGGCCAGCCCTTCTACTTTTTTTTTTAATGTTTTTATTGATTTCAGAGAGAGGAAGGGAGAGGGAGAGAGAGAAGCACCAACAACGAGAATCATTGATTGGCTGCCTCCTGCATGCCCCCTACTGGGAGTAAAGCCCACAACCTGGGCATGTGCCTTGACCAGGAATCAAACCCGGGACCTCCTGATCCATAGGTTGATATTCAACCACTGAGCCACACTGACTGGGCAAGGGCCAGCTCTTCTAGATGTGACAATAGGGTTCTTCTAAGTCCCTGCTTCTCCTGGACTTAAAAGCACTCTGGTCACATCCGCCCTTCTCTGGCCACCAGCTGCAAAAGAAGATCCAGGAGGAGATTGAACAGAACGTCGGTTTCAGCCGCACACCAACTGTGAGTGACCGGAACCACCTCGTGCTGCTGGAGGCCACCATCCGCGAGGTGCTTCGCATTCGCCCGGTGGCCCCTACGCTCATCCCCCACAAGGCTATCACTGACTCCAGGTATGCTTCTCGCCCGTTAACATCCAGCCCTAAGATGCACTCAACACTGCTTGCCAGCCCACCGGGCCCTCCTCCACTCCCTCAGCCCCCACCTTGCTGATCCACCTATAGTCAACCACTGACTATCAGTCATCTTACCATGACCCTATTGATCAATGTATCCACACTCACTAACGCACAAGGACTGACCCACAGATCTACCTGACCTCCCTCAGAAGCTGCCTGCTGTCCTGGAGACACGGGGTCTGCGAAGAAAGACTGGTGCTCTATGCTCCTACTCAGTCCAGTAGCCACAACACATACACAGTGCACCAGCACAAAATGCATACACACGGGCCCTGACTGATGCGGATATCCACATACCAGTGTTGATACATAAGTGCATGTCAGGAAGGGAAGGCTGGAGAGGAGCTGCATTCACACTGAATCTGGCAGAAGCTGAGAAAAGGAAGAGGGCGTGGGCGTGAGGGCGTAGAAGGCTCTTTCCCCCGGGGCTGGGGGACTGTGGAGCCTCAGGGCTGAGCAGGTGGCTAAGCAGGTGGGGGAGGACAATATTCCAGACCCCCCTTTCCTTTCCCTCTCGGGCAGCGTCGGCGAGTTTGCCATTGACAAGGGTACAAATGTTGTCATCAACTTGTGGGCACTGCATCACAATGAGAAGGAATGGCACCGGCCCGACCAGTTCATGCCCGGTGAGTCCGTTCTGTCCTGCTCCCAGGCCATGCAGCCAACCTGGTCTCTGTGCTCTGCCGCTCCAGCACTTCCCCTCTGCCAACCTGGCAACTAGAAAACTCCTGCCTCCAATGACATGGAACTACTGACACCCCATCCCACCTAGACTTACCCACCCTCTTCACAGCTGGGTCTCCTGCTTTCCCCTTCCACCAACTGCAAATCTTCTCCTCTAAGAAGCCCTCTAGGCATATGCCCCCATGAAGTGGGGCCCTTCTCCCCTTGGATGGTGGCATTTTTCATGGGCCGATACCACCTCCTTTCTATCCTTCCTGAATATCTCATTTCCTCTGTGTGATTAAGGGCTGCCTGAGCGCAGGGCTGTATCTCTCCTCAGGTTGGGGCTCCTCAGTCAGGGCAGAGGCACTCCTCTACTTACTCCAGCCCTGGCCCCTGCCTGATGCGTTCCCCATGTCCACAGAGCGCTTCCTGGACCCCACAGGGAGCCAGCTCATCTCGCCATCCTCCAGCTACTTGCCCTTCGGAGCAGGACCCCGCTCCTGCATTGGGGAGAACATGGCCCGCCAGGCACTCTTCCTCTTCATGTCCTGGATGCTGCAGAGGTTCGACCTGGAGGCCCCGGATGATGGGCAGCTGCCCTCCCTGGAGGGCATCCCCAACGTGGTCTTTCTGATAGACTCTTACAAAGTAAAGATTAAGATTCGCCAGGCCTGGAAGGAAGCCCAGGGTGAGGGTAGCACCTAGAGGTGTGCCTAGCGCTCCACCCTGTGTGGCCCCACAGCACAGAATGAGAGGTGTTACTCTACCCTCCCGCCCTTCCTCCCTCCTCCTGGTCCCCTCTGCCTTCTTTTCCACCCTGCAGCCCTGACAGTGATGTGCATAAAGTTTTTCTTAAGAAGGTCCCTGAACTTACGACATTCCTTACTATCATTGTTACCCTCCTTTGAAAAAAAGAAAAAGGGCCCTGAGTAGCTTATTCATTTAATTTTTTCACTCATTCTTTCAATAAATATTTTATTAAGCACCTCCTCAGTCCCACTCACTGATCCTGGACACTCAAGCTCCCTGGTCTCCTGAAGCTTACATTTCTAATGAGAACTAACAAATAGGTAAGCATTTCAGAGCCTCATAAGTCCTCTGCAGTCAATGACACCAGGTGATGGTGATTCGATAAGAGAATGGCAGAGGTGGGGAGTGGCTACTGTAAGCAAGCGATAGGGGAAGGTGCAGAAGACCTGGGGGACAGTGCCCCGTGCTGAGGGAGCAGCCAGGGAGGAGTTCTCCAGGTGGGAGGTCAGTGTGGCTGGGGCAGAGCAGCAAATGAAGGGGAGAGTGTCCCTGATGAGGTCAGACTGGAGACAGGCGCCAGGTCCCGTGGAGCCTTTGAAATTAGCAGGAAGGAATCTAGGTTTTTATCCCAAGTGTGCTAGGAAGTCACTGCAGGGTTTAAACATGTAAGTGGAAAGGTCTGGTTCATATTGTATTTTTAAAATATATTTTTATTGATTTCAGAGAGCAAGGGAGAAGGTGAGATAGAAACATCAATGATAAGAGAATCATTGATCGGCTGCCTCCCCTACTTTGGACCGAGCCCACAACCCGGGCATGTGCCCTGACTGGGAATTGAATTGCGACCTCTTGGTTCATAGGTTGACACTCAACCACTGAACCACACAGGCCAGGCTGGTTCACACTTTAAAAAGATCATCCTAGTTGCTGAGTGGAGACTGACCTGTGGAGGGATGAGAGTGGTGGCAGGGAGGGAGGAGGAGGAGGTTGCTGTGCTGGCAACAGCAGTGGAGATGGTGAGAAGTGGTGGGATTGAGTTATATTTTGAGAGTAGAGCAAGGGATCTTGTTTGCTTTGATGCAAACAGTCATTGGGTGTATGTACCTCAATGCTTATGGCTTAAAGGGAGTGTGTGTAATCCACAAACTCAACCCACCACTACCGACCACTCTTGTCTTGGTCCCCAGTGACCAGCAGGTCTTCTTTTCCTTGTCCTGTCCAGTAGACACTGCCAGGACAGGGCTTCCACAGCAGCCTTCTGCTAAAGTGCCGGGCTCTGCCCCTGCTCCCCACTCCCCAAGAAGTCTATAAATGCCTCACTAGAAAATGGAACCCAGCCCTGGCCCATGTGGCTCAGTTGGTTGAACATCATCCCATACACTGAGAGGCTGCCAGTTGGATTCCCTGTCAGGGCTTGATCCCCAGTAGGGGGCGTGCAGGAGGCATCAATGTTTCTCTTTCTCTCCCTTCCTCTCTAAAATCAATATAAAAACATATTTAAAAAAAAAAAAATGGAACACAGACTTTTTCAAACCTTGAAACCAGCATCTTTAAGCCTTGGCCACTGGCCAGTCTGCAAGTGAAAGATGTCCCTGGAAAAACTGACCCTGCTCTTTAGCCTAGAGAGGCCCCAATCCAAGCTCCCTGGCGCCAGCCAGACCAGGGTCAGATCATCAACACCCTGTCCTTCCTTTCAGACTGGGGAGGGGCTCTGAAAGGATCAGCAGGGCAAGGCTGAGACCATGCCTGACCAAGTTCTCAGAGGGAAGGAATCAAGGAATTCATTGAAAGGAGGGAGGAACAAGGTTTGCCATTACCTCTTCCTTGAAAAGCTTTTAAATCCAGTGGTAGTAGACCATTCCCTACTGTCCCCCCAACTCAATCCTGGCCTTCACTGCCAGTGACCCGGGGCCTTGCTTAAGGGCCCACAGGAGAGTTTGTTAGCCGCTGTGGCTGACCCCAGCCCCCATCACAAGCAGCTTGGAGAGATGTGGACACAACAGTGAGCTAATGGGAAAGGGGTAAACTGGATATCCCCTCCCTCCTGCCCCACTCTGGTGCCAGGCTAGATTGGTTGGAGGAGAGTTAAGTATTCCAAATTTGTTCAAAATTTGAAAAGCATTTTGCAGGCTAGTGATGAACAGGCAAACAACTAGCGGAGGGTCTGTGTCTCTTATAGAAGCAGTGGGTGAGTGTAACTGGGATGGAAACATCTACTCCAACTGTCGAATCAGACCACTGAATGGCAGGGAAATGAGACTAACCTTTCAATTTGAAGATGACAACACTGAGAGCCAATGGGGTAGCGGGCGGGGGGGAGGGGGGGCTTGGGAGGGACTTGCCCTAAGCCACACAGCCACTAGGCAGCAGGGCTGGGACCCGAACCCAGGATTTCAATGATACAGGACGAGGAGTGGCCGTGCTCTCCTACCTGTCCCATGTCCATGCAGAAGGGCTCAGGTGTCTAACTGGGGAGAGTACAAAGCTCAGTGTCCTTTTAGGAAATGACCTCATGAACTCTGATTCTTACCCAACTGCTCTTTCCCTGCCTGAACGGCTCTTACCGCTTCCTTAAATCCTCCCACCTGAATGTCAGTGAAGCCCTCCTCCAGGCCATGTCTTGCGACTCCTACCCCTCAGCTTCTGTTCCCTGGTACTAAATCCCGACTGCATCTCAGCACCTTCCTGGGCCTAAAATGGGCGTGGTGTCTCCAAGGGACACTGTCTACCCCTATATCTCTGGAGTTCAAGACTGAGCCCTCTCATGTTCTTTACCCTGCACATGGCCCCTGACAAGTAGGTTAGTCACACAAGAGGACTGAATTAAACGCTCTGAGTTTAACTGGCTAATTGGTCCAGTGATAAACAGACTCCATCTCCTTGTGTGTAAGGAAGCCCAGAGCTTTGGGTAAGCTGGAAGGTCTTTGCCAATAACTCAGTCACCTTTCCAGCCTAAGACTGCTCTTAACCAGGGAAGTGATGATAAACAAACACTGAACAAAACCAGTGCTCTGGGGCTGGTGGTGAGGAATAACCCTGATGTGTCATGTGTGCTGGTTACATGTGGACACCCCACCATGACCGATTTCAAGCCACCAAGGTGATGTCACGGACCACAGAGTTGGGGAGAGATGCACAGGAGCACTGTTATTTATCATTATATTATATAGTAAATACCATGTACTACAGCTTGTAAAATTCCTGAAAATTTAGTAACCAGCTCTGTGAGCTAGGCATTGGCCCTCCTAGGAGAAATGAGCTGCCCTGTCCTTTAGAAGAGCAGCTCCCAGTCTGAGGGGAGGACCTCTTCCCTGGTAACCTTGGTGTGCAGCGTGGGTGGATGAGAGTGCATGATTGTTCTGGTCGGTCTCTTGTGGCCACAAAACCTGAAGCAAATGAGGAGTCTTTTCTCCAGTCATGCTTATGGGTGTAAACATCCAACTTTTTAGGACAGGAAGCCAATCGCAGACTGGGGTGGAGAGAGGACCAGACGAGGACCTGGTCACCCAGGTTCTAGTTCCCAGACTCTCTGGTTTTCCTAGCCCTGGATCTTGGGCCCATTGCTAGCTTCTTGAACCCTGCTTTCCTCAGCTGTCCAGTGGGGTAACTTACCACCTGTGCTGCCCATTATCTGAGGCTCTGGTGAAGATGAAAAGCAGAAAGGGCTGTGTGAGTAGGAGAGTTCCACACCAACCGGAGTTACAGAAGATAAGAAGTCAGGCTGTGGAGGCAAGTTCGCTGTCGTCATTTACAGACCAAATGACCATGGGTAACTTACTTGAACTGCTAAAACCTCAGTTTTCTCATCTGTAACCTGGGTGACTGAGGTGTATCACCCTCAGAGTATCGGTACCTCAATAAACACTGGCTTTGTCATTGCCTATATCCAGATCCACAAAGTAAGTCCTTCCCTAAGGGTTTTATACAAACCTCCCAAAGGCCACCGGCTTGGTCAGAAGGAGGAACCGGTGTGTCCAGATGGTCCATCGAAGGACAGGACCTCCGGGACCTTCCTCTGGCAGCGGGGGAGTGGGTGGAGAGCCCAGGGACAGACTTTTCATGGCTCCCGCACTGAAGGTGGTTTGTAACATTTTCCAGGGCTGGTTTCTTGAGACTTCTTGGTGAGATGTGCAGTGGAAGGCTAAACTGTGGTGAGGAGCTGGCTTGTACAAAGTGACAAGTGACTTCAGCTCAAACATCCTCTTCTCCCCCTCACAAGCCACCCAAAGCTCTTTATCTCCTCAGAAGAAGACCAAAACACTCTTGCAAGAAAAAGCCACAAAGACCCAGAGCTCTAACTCCTGACAATTTTACAGTGTTTCCAAGAGGTTACACCTCCCTATGGAAGTGGACGGTGATCTGCAGCAGGCACCGCCGCTGTCTCAGGCAGGAGGCCATAGAGCACTGAAGGGCGCTGCTAGGCGAAGCCTGGCTGGGCGTGGGGGCCTCTGAGGGCTTATGATAAGGCAACGGGGAGGAGAAAAAGGGACAAAGTGCCTTTGAGGATCTGGTGTCCGGTTCACCTTTCACCATGCTACTCCCCTGTTCAGTACATCTTTGAAAAGACGAGTTCTTCACGTGACACCAACATACAACTGTCGCACTGACTAGTGGACTGCCTGAGCTTTGGAGTCAACGATGTGGGTTCAGATCCTGACTACCACTTATTAGCTGTGTGATCTTGGACAAGTGAATCAACAACTCTGAATCCCATTAATCAAGCAGGAATAATTACAGTCCATACCTCAAAGGGCTGTTTTGAGGCTGAAATTTAAACACGTAGGTAAGATGCTTACACAAGACCCAGCATTGTGTAAAGTCAACAAACGAAACAATGGACAAGTTAAATTATTTTCATTACCAGCTTATCTCTCCAGCTTCATCTCCTGTCACTTCCCAGAATGCAATTATCTAGAAAGATTAAATTGCTCCTAGCTTTATAAAAAAAATACATTTAGCCCTAACCGGTTTGGCTCAGCGGATAGAGCATCGGCCTGCGGACTCAAGGGTCCCAGATTCGATTCCTGTCAAGGGCATGTACCTTGCTTGCGGGCACATCCCCCGTGGGGAGTGTGCAGGAGGCAGCTGATCGATGTTTCTCTCTTATCAATGTTTCTAACTCTCTATCCCTCTCCCTTCCTCTCTGTAAAAAATCAGTAAAATATATCTTTTAAAAAATACACTTAGACCTACTATGGTTTTATTGATTTCAGAGAGAAAGGGAGAGGGAGAGACAGAAACATCAATGATGAGA